ATGTGGTTTGTCCTATCCACATCATTTAGTGAGGAATTGTTTCTACCAGGTACAACCTTCTCCCTTCAAATAGCCACCTCTCCTCTCTTTTCAAACAAGCCCCTTCAGTGCTGGCATAGCAGAGCTGGGCTTTGAACTACATGTGAACATTCACTGAAGGTAGCCAGTACTATGCCTGGCTATGGACAATGAAGAGATAGAGAAAAAACTGGCAATCAAGGGGATTCCCATTTTCTGTACAAGGTTTTTCAGTTTAAACCCTGCTTTGGTATCAACACCTGGTCTCCCAGCCTTCACACAACCTTCTGCACTCAGCTCTTTGCACATAGAGACTTCATTTATAGACAGGGTGCAACTCACCTGGTTAACAATATGCTGGATTTCTGGAGTAGCAGCCTTGGTGTCAGATAACCCCCCGGTCATCATAGTGGCAGATGCCTTCTCTGAAATTACTGGTGGTTCTGAAATGGATGATTCTGAAAAGGGAAGTTTAGCAGAGTCTGAGCAGAGTCACCAGGCATCTCATATATATACATAAACATGTGTCATGGGATCATGTGACCTGCAACACATGGAGCCTACCATTACTAAACTGGTGAAGGAGACAAATGGGGAAAATGGAGAAAAAGCAATGTAATACATTGATAATAATAAATGTAAAAAAGCACTTCAGAAATCCTAAGAGTGTATAGTCTTCAGGTCAATGAGAAAAGCAAACATCAGCCTCTAGCCACCTACATCTCAAGACAGTTGGTTTTGACTGCAACTGGAACCTCTTGCCTCCCCACCCACGTGCAGATGACTGGTCTGTGCACTTAGGAAATGGATCAAAGTCACACCCAGTATTTCCCAATACCATTCAAGACCAGAATATAGTATGCAGTAGCTTCCATACTGCAGGTCCTGTTTAACTTGGCATTTTATTACCTCAGTATCCTTCCCAACGCAAAAGAAGAGCAGATTGCATCTTATTTTCAGTGACTTGACTTCCCTCTGCCTAACCAGAAAGGTTTCAACTTCAGGTAAGTACGGCAAGTAAGTTATTTCTGCTTTTTTCCCATCAGAAGCAGAAGCTCTAGAGCTGCATTCAGGCAATACATAATAACAACTGAATATACAGTAACATTTACATTTCAACTCAAACCCTAGTGCCAATTGCTGGGAGACAAAGTACCATCCCTCTTGCTAGAGGAGCAGTGTGTGCACAATTGCTGTCCTAATGCCAAGGTACACTGCTGAAACAGGCAACATGCAGAATAGATAGTCAGAAGGATTAATTCCCAGTTACAGACACATGGCACAGTCACATTCATGACCATATATGAATGGAAAAAGCTCCAAACCTACTAGTCCCCTATTAGGGATGACTAAGAAGTGTTACCAGCCCTCCTAGGTAAGGGAGGACTAACACTTCCAGACCACAAAAAAAATTATTCCTCTTTGGTATTCCTGCCATCCGTCTCTCCAGAAAACAGGAGGAATATTGTTCCAGAGCAAGGACCAGAGAGGCACCAAGAGACCAGACAATTTGTAGTCTCCAGGGGTGGGTACGTGGGAGTAGGTGAAATGAGACTACGTGCTGCACACAGGCAAAGGGCACTTCTGCTGCAATCAGTACGAGGGAGTTTGCCCAAAACAAGCGTGTTTATGGCCACAATAGTGGGGTCTGTGTAGCACAGACTTACCAGTGTGCTACCCAGGCTACTGACCCTCTTCCTCACAGGTGACAAGCGATGCAACAGGCTGTAAACTTCACACCTGACTTCTAGGCCTGTTCTTGGTACAAAGGACCTGAGATTCAGAATCTGGGGCTCTACGGGCCCTAAACTCAACAGTATATAGATCAGTGTTAGAGCTGTTACCGATAAAGGTGTTGCAGAATTTCCCAAACTTGAGCAGCAGTGCTATGGGAGGGCATGAAAAGCATCTGAGGAGAAACAGTTGTCTTGAGACAACATATTTCTGAACCAAGATAAAAGTGCTTCCAGGGCTCAGGAATAATGAGAATGGGAGTTGTTAAAACTGGGTTTCTGCCAGTTTCACCAACTTCATCTCTCCAGATACAGAGTTGCTCATAGCCTCATTTGTGGAGCTAATGACAATTCCAGCTGAGGAGCTCAAAATCCCTCCTTTGAACAAGACCCTGCTGATTCACCCAAATGCTGATCATGTTCCAACACAGTTGCTATCATGCATCTTATTCACACAGCAGGACAGATGAGTGACTGGAAGAGCCAGCTCACCTTACTGAGGCCAGAAGTCACAGAATGTGTCCAACAACCACACAAGCACCAGTGCTAAAACAGAGTATTTTATAAACCTGTCCGCTCACCAGGATACAGACCTCAGTAACTTCGTTGGGAAGGGATGTTATGGTCCCCAGGACAGCAGTAAGCCCCTGGAGAACACTTTACTTTAATTAACAAGAAATACGCTGAGCACAAAGTGTAGGAAGGTTAATTTATAACCTCGGAAAAACTCTAGGTGTGAAACTAAAGATGTTAATGTTGTGCCAAATCATTCATTGGACTGCATATTTCTGAATTTCCTGGTTTCTTACTTCAAAGCATAAGAATTTTTTTTCTCTCAGATGGCACAGAGTTGCGCACAAGGGAAGGAAAATCAACACTAATTGTCAGCAAGATGATGCTGAAATTTACACAGGCAGATCAATCTGTTTTCTTTCCATAGCAGTGCTAATACCCCAAAATCCAGTGATAGTTTTAAGACTGGGATGCAGTACTCATCCTGCACACATACTTCAGGAAGTCACTTTGAAGTGCTGACGTTTCACAGACCTGTCATCAAAGATGATCAGTGGCAATGGATTAACCTCATCCTAGGCAACCTTCGCCTACACCCCTCTCTAGTCAGCTTCAGATCTAACAAAACAGGATTTGGAACAAAAGCATGAAAAGAATGGTGGCTCCCATTCCATCTCTTGCACAACATCAACAAGCTAACGCCTGTCCCCTCTTTTAGGATTTGTGACCTCTGATCTTACGTACCATTCCAGCCTGCAATCTGCATTTGCACAGATGAGAATTTCCCTTCAATTTACTGCTGTTATATTGGAGAATCTCTGCTGGCAGAACATCTCTGGCATTCTTTAGAGTCGTGAAGCTGAGTAACATCTTGCACCATGTACTACCCCACTAAGGAAGAAACAAAGTTTACAGCTTGCAGGCCACTACAGTCTGGTCCTGTGTATGCAAGTTTAAGAACTACAAGCTACAGTAAATAAAAACACAGGTACAGTAACAAAACAAATCAAACGAAAATATAAAAATCCTCTGGCTAAAATCCAAACCCCAGATTTACGTATTTACAAGTCATCTTTAAGCCAGAAATGGCGTCAGCTCTGGAAGAACAATTGTGAACGCCCGAGTCAGCAGTTCAGCCTTCTGGTTTCACAGCGTAAAGACACCTCATTGTGACTGGATCGTATGACACATGGTCTGAATGTTTTCAAGAACTAGAGGAAAGTAGCCCTCCATGTACCAGTTGAAGATCTGTTTTCATGATCACAACTGATTGGCTGGAAAAGCTGCAGACAGGAGACAGCCCCCGTTCACCCTTTCCTCCCCTGGTTCCTCCTGTGCTCCTCCCCTTTTTGCCTGTGTCCCTATCTTGGTTTGTCTGTCTCATGCTCTGCCCTGTGTTCTGGCCCTTTGCCCTCCCAAGCTGATAAAGACTGGGTGCACACGGGAATAAAGCATTCTACCTGCATCCCACTCTCGTGTCCCGGACGCGTGTAGTGCCACGATCCTCCCCCCTTTTTCGGACCGCGGCACACCCCCCCTCACTGTACTCTTACCTGGAGCTCTAGGCCTCCAGCTCCACAGGCTGCCTGAGAGCCACTCCTGCAGCCAATGGCAGTGACACACACTCTGGGCACAAGGGAAGATCAGTAGCAAGGACCCTCTTTGGCAAGGTGATTTACAACCAAACCCTTTTCCCATGCACAGAGAAGGGGATATATTCTCATCCTGCTGAGTCCAAGGGAAGAGGAGCTCTGGTCAGGCAGATGCCCAAAAGCCTGTTGTGTGTCACACAACACAACACTGATGAAGACAAGTTGAGGAACATCCTTCTGTTGAAAGCTGGAGCCTGAGAACCTCCATTGGCACGTCCTTCCAGAAGATGCTGGCATGGATGGCTGCCCCATCCCATCCACCATGGCTCAAAATCCCACTGGAAAGCATGCCCCAGTGTGGTGTTTCCTGAACCATTCCTTAGTGAAGTAACAACAGAGTGGATCAGCTCTAGAGGGAGATTTCCATCAGCAAACTTGGCTGATGGGCAGGGAACCATCTCAACAAAGAGCTTGATCCTGCATCCCCAGTCTCCTCACAAACTCAGCAGAGCTCGGCCTGCTCAAAGCCCCAGCAGAGCATTTATTTATAGGTGATGGCAGGGGAAACAATGCCTTCTTGCCCAGTCTGGTTCATGCTTCTCACCATGTCCTCCCTGTTAGTCCACAAGCTCCGTTTAGTTTCTAATACCTGCTGCTGTTAAATTTAGGGTTCTGCTGACCAATGGTGGAAGGAGACTGTCTTCCCATTCCTTCAAGGCACACATTCCTGCTCCCCGCCCCACCACCCCTCTCCTCCCTGTGAGTGAAGCTGCACTTAAAGGAGGATAGTTTGGGTTCTCAGTTCCCCCATGCCAGAAATGGTCTATCTCACACTCTTTCTGACAAGTCGCCAATAGCTTGCATTTAATGCACTGAAACAAACCCCAAAAGCCCAAGATACCCAACAGAGTTTTGGAAAGAAGAGCTGAAGTGGGTGGGCCCTGTCTTACAGCTGTAGTACCCCAGGTGGCAGAAACAGCTTGAAACAGTATTTTGGAGCCTACTTGAGCTTTAGCTTGGCAGCGGCCCAAAGCATGACACACAGCAAAGGAACAAATAGCTTTCAAGCCTTATTTTATTTTCATGCATTTACTATCATGGTCAGAACCCCCACGTGACTTGTAGAAGTGAGGCACTGCCCTCATCGTGTCTCAGAAGTAGTCCAGAGGATCATCTCTGGTCTTGCCAGTCTGAAAACTGACAAGGGCAGGATATAAGTTCTCCGGAGGAAGGCCCACAAACACCTTTAAGTGGACATATTCAGTATCAGCAACTTGGACCTAGAAAACAAAACAGGGGGAAAGTGAGAAGCATGGCTTGAAGCAGGTTCAAACAAAAGGATGCTCTTTACATACTTGAAAGACTGTCTTTGCCGTGGAGTTTAATTTGAGGTTCTATCTCCACTTTTTACTTCCACAGCTCTTCACCCAAGTCTGGGTAATACCTGCTGGCAGAAAACTGTCTAAACCTGGAGAAAACTCTATTAAACTCTGTTAAAAACCTTCCGTCTCAGATGAAGGGAAAATGAGCAGGACTGCTTGAGGGTGGAAGCACCAGAAGGTGGAACAGGAGAAAGGTTTTGGTCGTGTTCTCTTTTGGTCACCAAGATGTCAGCACATCAGCTCTCAGCCTCTTGGCACACTCAGGGTGGAAGACAAGACCCAGTGAGTCTTAATGACTCAGGGCTGGGACAAGATGCAGAGACAACATCTGCTCTTACAAAGTACAGAAAGATCCATCCCAAACCAGCATGTGGTCCTGAGAAGCAATGACAACCTGAAAGCCTTGTCTGCAGATTGGGAAAGAAGAGACAAATCTGGGATGCAACTGGGCATGACTTCTGGCTGTACTTCAGCCCTCCAGTAAATTGTTACTCTTCATTACTCAGTGCTTTGTCCACAACGTGAAAGCATATCTCACTGGAGCAAGGAAAGGATAAATATCAATCATGTAGCTAAAACTCTGACTAGCCACAGAAGAGGTAGTCTGTCAGTACAGCCCCCTGGTGCCCACAGAGCACAAATAACTGGTATTATTTTAAAAAAACACCTGGGAGAGATGTTTCGCATTGTCTGTCCTTCCTGTCATCAGCTGAATATGAGAAGCGTGGAGCAAATGCTCACCACATCTCTCTGCAGAATTACTCTCCCACAAATGCTACCAGACAATTTCTTTCATAAAGATTCTGACCCTTGTCAGGAGAGTGAGTCCCACCAGGCACATGTCCCCACACACGTGGGGTTTGAGAGACAGCAGTCCCATGCCATGTGTGTTCTGCTCCAGAAGGCCAGCCTGCTGCTCAGCAGTGCTTGCTGGCCTTCAGATGCAAACCACACCCAGCAAGTTCTTCCGTGCTACTTCACAGAAAGCTGCTCACAGACGTGCGCAAGGTTTTCTAGTAGAGGATGAATGGTGCTCTCAGAGGGATCTAAACTAAGCAGGACTGGTTTTTCCTCCACAGCAGAGAGAGGGTTTGGAAAATACAGAAAGAACTATTCCTCTTCTACAGTAGTGCCGAAGAGAGGAATTTTATAAACATCCTGAGATAGTCCTCAACTCTATTACTCACATCAGATGCTTTTCTACCACACCTGCTTCTCTTTCCAGCTCTAAGCTACTCTGCAAGTCACCTATATTGTTCAACTGCAAAGCATTCCCTCCTATAATATATACAAACCTTAATGAAGTACATTGTCCCAGCAACTACTTGAGTCCTGTAGAGTATGGCTCTAAAGATGTCATATCTCCCGTTTACCCTGACTCTAAGTTGTAGTTTCACCTGTAAAAGAAAAGGGAAAACGGTTGGCAGGTTCATACTCGGGCTTTTCTTTCACATCTACCACTTCAAATCCCTTCCTTTCAAACATACATCCTTGATAAAATAAATCCAGAACCCCCACTCTAAATCAATTTACACCAGGACCTCCAGCCCTCCTTCCTAGCACTGCCTCCAGCACTATTTAAAATCCTGTGAGAAGGAGATTTCCTAATTGATTTCCCCTGCTCCACAGCTGTCCAGCTGAACAGTCTCCTGCTCACTACAGACAGCAAACTGCTAATTGCTTCCCTTTTGATTCCGGATCAAAGGATGGAGGCACCAAGCCATGCCCCCTATAAGGGTACACCCTGTGTCAACCACACTGTTACATAGAAGTGCAAGCCAGCTCCCCTCACCTGGAACACCAGTGTCTTGTCCTGTTTAAATCATTTTTTAGGGTATACTGGCATGTAGTTGGTCCCATCCATGGCCTTCAGGGAGAAATTAGTTCTACCACGTACAAGCTTCTCCCTTCAAATACACCTCTTCTCATTTCAAACAAGCCCCTTCAGTGCTGGCGTAGCAGAGCTGGGCTTTGAACTACATGTGAACATTCACTGAAGTTAGCCACTTTAAACCCTGCTTCAGTACCAGCATCTGCTCTCTCAGCCTTTACACAACCTTCAGCACTCAGCTCTTTGCACACAGAGACTTCATCTGTAGACTAGGCACAACTCACCTGGTTGGTGACATCCTGGACTTCTTGAGTGGCACGCTCGGGGGGAGATAAGCCCCCAGCAATAGGTGACTGCTTTAACATGACAGGTGGTTCTGAAGAGGGAAGTTTAGCACAGTCTGAGCAGAGTCACCAGGCATCTTGCATATATATATATATATACACTCACACAGACATACACAGAGAAACGTGTGTGTTGAATTAGAGTAAGAAATCTGTCAGAAAATAAACCCCCCTGCATTCCAGCTGGGCCTTGGGGCAAGAGGGGCTGGGTATGGCTACACTTAATTTAGGATTAGAAGCAAGTCATCACTGTAACTCTAGTCATGTTCAATAGGAACTTCCACGAGCACAGATTCACAAACAGTTGGGTTTATTGAAGCAACAGAAATTCAGATTTGAAACTGCCATTGGTAAATGTACCTGCTGCAACGAAGCTCTAACAATAATAATAATGTTTTACTAACCCAGGGAATAGTAACAATCAGACACAAAGGCTTACCACAAAGACGTTCCTGCTTGGGATGAGAGAGAGGAGAGTCGTCCGTTGACTGTCCCTGAGGTCTTTTTGGGTCTTCCCTGTACTTCAATGAAGTTTCTGCCCTCCTTATATACAGCCCAATCGTCTCCTCCTCCTCCTTTTATGTATGGTGTGATAGAAGTGGAGAGCTGAGTAAGATAGTCATGTGTGGTAGCACGTACTTCATTAAGCTTATTGACATATGCAGGGTGGTTCTGTTTCCTGTTCAAATGACTCTTAATTTTTGGGCATGGTATGCTTCAAGGTTCCGGTCTTATGATTTTGTTTTGGTCTGTTCTGTTTGTCAGAGCCAAAAGATGATCATCCTGGCTCCACAGCACCTCCTCCTTCCGCCAACACATCCTTTCTTGACGTCAACCATGCCTGTCTCCATCCGCAAAGATAACGTAGAGGGTACCCACTGTAGGCCATAAATAGGCAGCCTTAACCATTGCCTGGCTCCTGGGTCCTCATCCCACACTGTCATGGAATCATGGGACCTACAACACATGGAGCCTACCATTACTGAACTGGAGAAGCCAACTAACTGGGAAAACGGGGGGGGGGGAAGCAATGTAAAATGCTGATAATATTAATAAGAAATGTAAAAAGCACTTTAAGAATCTTAAGAGAGTTCAGTCTTCAGGTTAATAACAAAAGCAAACACTGGACCCCAGCCACCTACTTCTCAAGACAATTGTTTTGGGCTGCAAATGGAATTTCTTGCCTCTTCACCCATGTGCAGATAACTGCTCTGTGCACTTAGGAAATGGATCAAAGTCACACCCATATTTCCCAATACCATTCAAGATCAGAAGAAAGCATGCAGTAATTTCCCTACTGCAGGTCCCGTTCAACTTGGAATTTTATTACCTCAGTATACTTCCCAATGCAAAAGAGGAGCAGATTGCATCATATCTTCAGTGACTTGACTTCCCTCTGCCTAACCAGAAAGGTGCCAAGGTAAACACCAGCACCAGAAGTAGAAAAAATTAAATTCCAGCTGCTGGTGAGTACTGCAAGAATGGTATTTCTGCTTCTTTCCCATCAGAAGCAGAAGCTCTAGAGCTGCATTCAGGCAATACATAATAACAACTGAATATACAGTAACATTTACATTTCAACTCAAACCCTAGTGCCAATGGCTGGGAAGACAAAGTACGATCCCTCCTGCTGGAGCAGCAGTGTGTGCACAATTGCTGTCCTAAAGCCAAGGTACACTGCTGAAACAGGCAACATGCAGAATAGATAGTCAGAAGGATTAATTCCCAGTTACAGACACATGGCACAGTCACATTCATGACTATACATGAATGGAAAAAGCTCAAAACCTACTGAGGGACAATTAAGAAGTGTTACCAGCCCTCCTAGGTAAGGGAGGACAAACATTTTCAGACCACAAAAAAAATTACTCCCCTTTGGTATTCCTGCCATCCCTCTCTCCAGAAAACAGGAAGAATATTGTTCCAGAGCAAGGACCAGAGAGGCACCAAGAGACCAGACAATTTGTAGTCTGCAGGGGCGGGTATGTGGGAGTAGGTGAAATGAGACTACGTGCTGCACACAGGCAAAGGGCACTTCTGTTGCAATCAGCACGAGGCAGTTTGCCCAAAACAAGCGTGTTTATGGCCACAACAGTGGGGTCTGTGTAGCACAGACTTACCAGTGTGCTACCCAGGCTACTGACCCTCCTCCTCACAGGTGACAAGCGATACAACAGGCTGTAAACTTCACACCTGACTTCTAGGCCCATTCTTGGTACAAAGGACCTGAGATTCAGAATCTGGGGCTCTACGGGCCCTAAACTCAACAGTATATAGATCAGTGTTACCGCCACCACCTGCGTCTCCTAGAACGCTTCCATCAATGCTGTCTCCGTTCAATCCTAAATATCCACTGGTCAGATTATGTGACCAATGCATCTGTTCTAGAACAAGCAGCAGTCACAAGTATTGAGGTCATGTTGCTGAGAACACAGCTGCGCTGGGCAGGGCACGTCTCCAGGATGAAGGACCACCGCCTCCCTAAGATCTTGCTTTATGGTGAACTTGCCACCGGCTGCTGCAAGAGAGGAGCCCCGAAGAGGAGATACAAGGACTCCCTGAAACAACATCTCAGCCTTGGCCATATTGATCAACATAACTGGTCTACTCTGGCCTCCAATCGGGAGGCCTGGAGACACACCATCTATAACGCTGCTGATGCTTTTGAGAAAGCACGCAGGATCACCCTTGAGGAGAAAAGGCAACACAGAAAGAATCGTGCCTTGCAGAATTTACCACCTAAGGAGTCTTTCTGTTGTGCCTTTTGCAACCGGACATGCCTATCTCGTATTGGCCTTTTTAGCCACCAGCGTGCTTGCAACAAACATGGGTAGAGCCCTTCCCAAATCTTCGTTCGCAAAGTCCAGCCATGATGATACATGAGAGCTGTTACTGCTAAAGGTGTTGCAGAATTTCCCAAACTTGAGCAGCAGTGCTATGGGAGGGCATAAAAAACATTTAAGGAGAAACAGTTGCCTTGAGACAACATCTTTCTGAACCAAGAGAAAAATGCTTCCAGTTCTCAGGAAGAAAAGGAATGGGAGCTGCTGAAACTGCTAATGGCTGTCCCAAAATCCAGTGATAGTTTTAAGACTGGGATGCAGTACTCATCCTGCACACATACTTCAGGAAATCATTTTGAAGTGCTGACGTTTCACAGACCTGTCATCAAAGATGATCAATGGCAATGGATTAACCTCACCCTAGGCAACCTTCGCCTACACCCCTCTCTAGTCAGCTTCAGATCTAACAAAACAGGATTTGGAACAAAAGCATGAAAAGAATGGTGGCTCCCATTCCATCTCTTGCACAACATCAACAAGCTAACGCCTGTCCCCTCTTTTAGGATTTGTGACCTCTGATCTTACGTACCATTCCAGCCTGCACTCTGCATTTGCACAGATGAGAATTTCCCTTCAATTTACTGCTGTTATATTGGAGAATCTCTGCTGGCAGAACATCTCTGGCATTCTTTAGAGTCGTGAAGCTGAGTAACATCTTGCACCATGTACTACCCCACTAAGGAAGAAACAAAGTTTACAGCTTGCAGGCCACTACGCTCTGGTCCTGTATATGCAAGTTTAAGAACTACAAGCTACAGTAAATAAAAACACAGGTACAGTAACAAAACAAATCAAACAAAAATATAAAAATCCTCTGGCTAAAATCCAAACCCCAGATTTACGTATTTACAAGTCATCTTTAAGCCAGAAACAAAGGCAGCTCTGGAGGAACAATTGTGAATGCCCGAGTCAGCAGTTCAGCCTTCTGGTTTCACAGTGTAAAGACACCTCATTGTGACTGGGTTGTATGACACATGGTCTGAATGTTTTCAACAACTAGAGGAAAGCAGCCCTCCATGTACCAGTTGAAGATCTGTTTTCATGATCACAGTAACATCACCCTTGACTTTCACCACGCTGGTCTGAAAAAAAACGTTTCCCCTTCTGCTCCTCACCCTGATTTCAGAAGATTTCTGGCATCATACATCAAGAAAGATCAGTAGAAACCTGACTTTCAGCAGCACAAAGATCTCACCCCAGCCTATGCTGAGCCTGTGGTACCAGTAAAGAACCTCCTCCCCTCAGTCTGCTTCATGACGACCAAATTCTTCCAACCTTCATAATTCAGAAATTCTATGATTTTATAGCAACAGAAAAATCATGATATATTTGCTGGAAAAGCCCTCCCCCCTCACTGTACTCTTACCTGGAGCTCTAGGCCTCCAGCTCCACAGGTTGCCTGAGAGCCACTCCTGCAGCCAATGGCAGTGACACACACTCTGGGCACAAGGGAAGATCAGTAGCAAGGACCCTCTTTGGGAAGGTGATTTACAACCAAACCCTTTTCCCATGCACAGAGAAGGGGATATATTCTCATCCTGCTGAGTCCAAGGGAAGAGGAGCTCTGGTCAGGCAGATGCCCAAAAGCCTGTTGTGTGTCACACAACACAACACAACACTGATGAAGAAAAGTTGAGGAACATCCTTCTGTTGAAAGCTGGAGCCTGAGAACCTCCATTGGCACATCCTTCCAGAAGATGCTGACATGGATGGCTGCCCCATCCCACCCACCATGGCTCAAAATCCCACTGGAAAGCATGCCCCAGTGTGGTGTTTCCTGAACCATTCGTTAGTGAAGCAACAACAGAGTGGATCAACTCTGGAGGGAGATTTCCATCAGCAAACTTGGCTGATGGGCAGGGAACCATCTCAGCAAAGAGCTTGATCCTGCATCCCCAGTCTCCTCACAAACTCGGCAGAGCTCGGCCTGCTCAAAGCCCCAGCAAAGCATTTATTTATAGGTGATGGCAGGGGAAACAATGCCTTCTTGCCCAGTCTGGTTCAAGCTTCTCACCATGTCCTCCCTGTTAGTCCACAAGCTCCGTTTAGTTTCTAATATCTGCTGCTGTAAAATTTAGGGTTCTACTGACCAACGGTGGAAGGAGACTGTCTTCCCATTCCTTCAAGGCACACATTCCTGCTCCCCGCCCCACCACCCCTCTCCTCCCTGTGAGTGAAGCTGCACTTAAAGGAGGATAGTTTGGGTTCTCAGTTCCCCCGTGCCAGAAATGGTCTATCTCACACTCTTTCTGACAAGTCGCCAATAGCTTGCATTTAATGCACTGAAACAAACCCAAAAAGCCCAAGATACCCAACAGAGTTTTGGAAATAGGAGCTGAAGTGGGTGGGCCCTGTCTTACAGCTGTAGTACCCCTGTAGGTGGCAGAAACAGCTTGAAACAGTATTTTGGAGCCTACTTGAGCTTTAGCTTGGCAGCGGCCCAAAGCATGACACACAGCAAAGGAACAAATAGCTTTCAAGCCTTATTTTATTTTCATGCATTTACTGTCATGGTCAGAACCCCCACGTGACTTGTAGAAGTGAGGCACTGCCCTCATCGTGTCTCAGAAGTCGTCCAGAGGATCATCTCTGGTCTTGCCAGTCTGAAAACTGACAAGGGCAGGATATAAGTTCTCCGGAGGAAGGCCCACAAACACCTTTAAGTGGACATATTCAGTATCAGCAACTTGGACCTAGAAAACAAAACAGGGGGAAAGTGAGGAGCATGGCTTGAAGCAGGTTCAAACAAAAGGATGCTCTTTACATACTTGAAAGACTGTCTTTGCCGTGGAGCTTAATTTGAGGTTCTATCTCCACTTTTTACTTCCACAGCTCTTCACCCAAGTCTGGGTAGTACTTGCTGTCTACACCTGGAGAAAACTCTATTAAGAACATTCCGTCTCAGATGAAGGGAAAATGAGCAGGACTGCTTGAGGGTGGAAGCACCAGAAGGCAGAACAGGAGAAAGGTTTTGATGGTGTCCTCTTTTGGTCACCAAGATGTCAGTACCTCAGTTCTCAGCCTCTTGGCACACCCAGTGAGTCTTAATGACTCAGGGCTGGGACAAGATGCAGAGACAACATCTGCTCTTACAAAGTACAGAAAGATCCATCCCAAACCAGCATGTGGTCCTGAGAAGCAATGGCAACCTGAAAGCCTTGTCTGCAGATTGGGAAAGAAGAGACAAATCTGGGATGCAACTGGGCATGACTTCTGGCTGTACTTCAGCCCTCCAGTAAATTGTTACTCTTCATTACTCAGTGCTTTGTCCACAACGTGAAAGCACATCTCACTGAAGCAAGGAAAGGATAAATATCAATCATGTAGCTAAAACTCTGACTAGTCACAGAAGAGGTAGTCGGTCAGTACAGCCCCCTGGTGCCCACAGAGCACAAATAACTGGTGTTATTTTTAAAAAAGCACCTGGGAGAGATGTTTCACACAGTCTGTCCTTCCTGTCATCAACTAAATATGAGAAGCGTGGAGCAAATGCTCACCACATCTCTCTGCAGAACTACTCTCCCCCAAATGCTACCAGACAATTTCTTTCATAAAGATTCTGACTCTTGTCAGGGGAGCGTGTCCCACCAGGCACATGTCCCCACACACGTGGGGTTTGAGAGACAGCAGTCCCATGCCATGTGTGCTCTGCTCCAGAAGGCCAGCCTGCTGCTCAGCAGTGCTTGCTGGCCTTCAGATGCAAACCACACCCAGCAAGTTCTTCCGTGCTACTTCACAGAAAGCTGCTCACAGACGTGGGTAAGGTTTTCTAGTTAGAGGATGAATGGTGCTCTCAGAGGGATCTAAACTAAGCAGGACTGGTTTTTCCTCCACAGCAGAGAGAGGGTTTGGAAAATACAGAAAGAACTATTCCTCTTCTACAGTAGTGCCGAAGAGAGGTATTTTATAAACATCCTGAGATACTCCTCAACTCTATTACTCACATCAGATGCTTTTCTACCACATCTGCTTCTCTTTCCAGCTCTAAGCTACTCTGCACGTCACCTGTATTGTTGAACTGCAAAGCACTCCCTCCAATATTATATACAAACCTTAATCAAGTAATTTGCCCCAGCAACTATTTGAATCCTGTAGAGTATGGCTCTAAAGATGTCATATCTCCCGTTTACCCTCACTTCAAGCTGTAGTTTCACCTGTAAAAGAAAAGGAAAAATGGTTGGCAGGTTCATACTCGGGCTTTTCTCTCACATCTACCACTTCAAATCCCTTCCTTTCAAACATACATCCTTAATAAATCCAGAACCCCCACTCTAAATCAATTTACACCAGGACCTCCAGCCCTCCTTCCTAGCACTGCCTCCAGCACTATTTAAAATCCTGTGAGAAGGAGATTTCCTAATTGATTTCCCCTGCTCCAAAGCTGTCCAGCTGAACAGTCTCCTGCTCACTACAGACAGCAAACTGCTACTTGCTGCCCTTTTGATTCTGGATCAAAGGATGGAGGCACCAAGCCATGCCCCCTATCGGGGTACACCCTGTGTCAACCACACTGTTACACAGAAGTGCAAGCCAGCTCCCCTCACCTGGAACACCAGTGCCCACGCCAGTCAGCCTGGGAGGCTGAAAATGTAGCTCAGTATCTGGGATGCTGCACTGGCCCAGCCATGTTCAAAGGAAGCCCTTGAGGCATTTCACAAGACTCATTAGTCAAATTTCAAGCCCCCAGTTGGCCTGAGACATTGCCCTCCTCATCTTACACATGAGCAAACACGAATAGCAAATACACAAAGGTGCTACAAGTCCCTGCTAGGGTCTCCCCTCCGTAGGCAACAGGGAATTCCTCATCTCTACAAGTGCTGCTCCTACAACCACTTGTGCCAGCAGAGGAGGAACAGTGATACTGCTCCTGAGTCATTCAATTGGTGTCCCCCAAGCAATTGTAGATCATCCTTTTCTCTTTCTGTTCTGCAGTAAATTATCTCCCCTCTGACTGACCTGTTACCCCATACTTCAGCCCTCCCCCATGTACATATACCCAACTCTGGTGAGCCCAGCTGTTTCTCAGCAATTAAGCCCCACAAGGGGAGAAGGCTCAGGGGAGCTGGGGAGGGCAATGTGCTGCCCACAAAACCCCCTGGATAATGCAGGGTGTGACTGACCACAGCTTTTGCAGATAAGCTGACTTTACCTCAACACCAAGGGGACCACAAGGTGTTTTAGACAAATAGCTCTGTCAGTCGAGGGAATCATTCAGGTGGTGTAACTTCCTGAGCTCAATAAATGAAAGGGAACACCCTCCTGAATTAGCCAGACCAGCATGGAGGGAGTGAATACGTGGCTCTGCCCAACACACAGTATAAAAACTAAACAGGGAACACAAGAATTTTGAAAAAAACAGCTGGCTAGAAGTGGCTTCAACCCACCGACCCCTTCCTGGGGACTGAGGAGCTTAGTGTTGTGACAGGGAGCATGTTATACAGACCAGTGACAGAGACCACACCAGTGTCATCACTGAACTGTGTACTGCAATTGCTACATTTTGCTGAGAGTAATTAGATCTGCATCGAGTTAGCAGAATATTTGTATCCCTCTGCTAAATCACAAGCCTTGTGTGACATTAAATACCTTCAAGTAAGCAAAGCGGGTTTTAAACGATATCCCCTCCACCTGTGCACTACCTAAATCAATCCTGCTGGGAACCCCGCACAGGGAGTGTGCAGCAGTGTTGGCTGATGCCTTCAGCCCCACCCTTTCCTGGGGGTCTTTCCTCAAGGATGGCATAAGTTACACTTGGTGCAATGCCTCAAGAGGGAAGAACTCGTCTTGCAGACAGAGGATGAAGGGGCTCAGGTAGGTGGGAAGACAAGGCGGGACACACAGATGGAGTCTTCCCATGCCACGTTGCTCCCCTCCAGCTCCTAAGGATGCAATTTATACTTATTTGAAAAAGAGCTGCTGTACTGCAGGGCTGCTGCTATCACAGCTGCTTCCAGGACAGGACCACTGCCTGTGACCTGCCTGCCTTGTGCCAAGCCCACCTTGCCCCACGGTCTCACTATTTGCCCTTGCATCATAGTTGTGACTCCAGAAAACAATGCCAGCAGAGAACATACCATTTATCTGTTGCCTTGTCCTGTTTAAATCATTTTTTAGGGCAGACTGGCATGTAGTTGGTCCCATCCATGGCCTTCAGGGAGGAATTAGTTCTACCACGTACAAGCTTCTCCCTTCAAATACGCCTCCTCTCATTTCAAACAAGCCCCTTCAGTGCTGGCGTAGCAGAGCTGGGCTTTGAACTACATGTGAACATTCACTGAAGGTAGCCACTTTAAACCCTGCTTCAGTATCAGCATCTGGTCTCTCAGCCTTTACACAACCTTCAGCACTCAGCTCTTTGCACACAGAGACTTCATCTATAGACTAGGCACAACTCACCGCGTTGGTGATATCCTGGACGTCTTGAGCAGCACACTTGGGGTCAGAGAAGCCCCCAACAATAGGTGACATGACAGGTGGTTCTGAAGAGGGAAGTTTAGCACAGTCTGAGCAGAGTCACCAGGCATCTTGCATATATATATATATACACACACACATACACAGAGAAACGTGTGTGTTGAATTAGAGTAAGAAATCTGTCAGAAAATAAACCCCCTGCATTCCCGCTGGGCCTTGGGGCAAGAGGGGCTGGGTATGGCTACACTTAATTTAGGATTAGAAGCAAGTCATCACTGTAACTCTAGTCATGTTCAATACGAACTTCCACGAGCACAGATTCACAAATAGTGTGGTTTACACTTTGATTGCAATCAAGGAGAACTTCTGCGCTCACAGATTCACAAACAGTTCGGTTTATTGAAGCAACAGAAATTCAGATTTGAAACTGCCATTGGTAAATGCACCTGCTGCAACGAAGCTCTAACAACAATAATAATATTTTACTAACCTGGGGAATAGTAACAATCAGACACAAAGGCTTACCACAAAGACGTTCCTGCTTGGGATGAGAGAGAGGAGAGTCGTCCGTTGACTGTCCCTGAGGTCTTTTTGGGTCTTCCCTGTACTTCAATGAAGTTTCTGCCCTCCTTATATACAGCCCAATCGTCTCCTCCTCCTCCTTTTACATATGGCGTGATCGAAGTGGAGAGCTGAGTAAGATAGCAATGTGTGGTAGCACATACTTCATTAACCTTATTGACATATGCAGGGTGGTTCTGTTTCCTGTTCAAATGACTCTTAATTTTTGGGCCTGGTATGCTTCAAGGTTCCGGTCTTACGATTTTGTTTTGGTCTGTTCTGTTTGTCAGAGCCAAAAGATGATCATCCTGGCTCCACAGCACCTCCGCCTTCCGCCAACACATCCTTTCTTGACGTCAACCATGCCTGTCTCCATCCGCAAAGATAACGTAGAGGGTACCCACTGTAGGCCATAAATAGGCAGCCTTAACCATTGCCTGGCCCCTGGGTCCTCATCCCACACTGTCATGGAATCATGGGACCTACAACACATGGAGCCTACCATTACTGAACTGGAGAAGCCAACTAACTGGGAAAACGGGGGGGGGGAAGCAATGTAAAATGCTGATAATATTAATAAGAAATGTAAAAAGCACTTTAAGAATCTTAAGAGAGTTCAGTCTTCAGGTTAATAACAAAAGCAAACACTGGACCCCAGCCACCTACATCTCAAGACAATTGTTTTGGGCTGCAAATGGAATTTCTTGCCTCTTCACCCATGTGCAGATAACTGCTCTGTGCACTTAGGAAATGGATCAAAGTCACACCCAGTATTTCCCAATACCATTCAAGATCAGAAGAAAGCATGCAGTAATTTCCCTACTGCAGGTCCCGTTCAACTTGGAATTTTATTACCTCAGTATACTTCCCAATGCAAAAGAGGAGCAGATTGCATCATATCTTCAGTGACTTGACTTCCCTCTGCCTAACCAGAAAGGTGCCAAGGTAAACACCAGCACCAGAAGTAGAAAAAATTAAATTCCAGCTGCTGGTGAGTACTGCAAGAATGGTATTTCTGCTTCTTTCCCATCAGAAGCAGAAGCTCTAGAGCTGCATTCAGGCAATACATAATAACAACTGAATATACAGTAACATTTACATTTCAACTCAAACCCTAGTGCCAATTGCTGGAAGACAAAGTACCATCCCTCTTGCTAGAGGAGCAGTGTGGGCACAATTGCTGTCCTAATGCCAAGGTACACTGCTGAAACAGGCAACACGCAGAATATAGAGTCAGAAGGATTAATTCCCAGTTACAGACATGGCACAGTCACATTCATGACCATATATGAATGGAAAAAGCTCAAAACCTACTGAGGGACAATTAAGAAGTGTTACCAGCCCTCCTAGGTAAGGGAGGACAAACATTTTCAGACCACAAAAAAAATTACTCCCCTTTGGTATTCCTGCCATCCCTCTCTCCAGAAAACAGGAGGAATATTGTTCCAGAGCAAGGACCAGAGAAGCACCAAGAGATCAGACAATTTGTAGTCTGCAGGGGTGGGTACGTGGGAGTAGGTGAAATGAGACTACGTGCTGCACACAGGCAAAGGGCACTTCTGCTGCAATCAGCACGAAGCAGTTTGCCCAAAACAAGCGTGTTTATGGCCACAACAGTGGGGTCTGTGTAGCACAGACTTACCAGTGTGCTACCCAGGCTACTGACCCTCCTCCTCACAGGTGACAAGCGATGCAACAGGCTGTAAACTTCACACCTGACTTCTAGGCCTGTTCCTGGTACAAAGGACCTGACATTCAGAATCTGGGGCTCTACGGGCCCTAAACTCAACAGTATATAGACCAGTGTTAGAGCTGTTACCGATAAAGGTGTTGCAGAATTTCCCAAACTTGAGCAGCAGTGCTATGGAAGGGCATAAAAAACATTTGAGGAGAAACAGTTGCCTTGAGACAACATCTTTCTGAACCAAGAGAAAAATGCTTCCAGTTCTCAGGAAGAAAAGGAATGGGAGCTGCTGAAACTGCTAATGGCTGTCCCAAAATCCAGTGATAGTTTTAAGACTGGGATGCAGTACTCATCCTGCACACATACTTCAGGAAATCATTTTGAAGTGCTGACGTTTCACAGACCTGTCATCAAAGATGATCAGTGGCAATGGATTAACCTCACCCTAGGCAACCTTCGCCTACACCCCTCTCTAGTCAGCTTCAGATGTAACAAAATAGGATTTGGAATAAAAGCATGAAAAGAACGGTGGCTCCCATTCCATCCCCTGCACAACATCAACAAGCTAACGCCTGTCCCCTCTTTTAGGATTTGTGACCTCTGATCTTACGTACCATTCCAGCCTGCACTCTGCATTTGCACAGATGAGAATTTCCCTTCAATTTACTGCTGTTATATTGGAGAATCTCTGCTGGCAGAACATCTCTGGCATTCTTTAGAGTCGTGAAGCTGAGTAACATCTTGCACCATGTACTACCCCACTAAGGAAGAAACAAAGTTTACAGCTTGCAGGCCACTACGCTCTGGTCCTGTATATGCAAGTTTAAGAACTACAAGCTACAGTTAATAAAAACACTGGTACAGTAACAAAACAAATCAAACAAAAATATAAAAATCCTCTGGCTAAAATCCAAACCCCAGATTTACGTATTTACAAGTCATCTTTAAGCCAGAAACAAAGGCAGCTCTGGAGGAACAATTGTGAACGCCCGAGTCAGCAGTTCAGCCTTCTGGTTTCACAGTGTAAAGACACCTCATTGTGACTGGGTTGTATGACACATGGTCTGAATGTTTTCAAGAACTAGAGGAAAGCAGCCCTCCATGTACCAGTTGAAGATCTGTTTTCATGATCACAGTAACATCAGCCTTGACTTTCACCACGCTGGTCTGAAAAAAAACGTTTCCCCTTCTGCTCCTCATCCTGATTTCAGAAGATTTCTGGCATCATACATCAAGAAAGATCAGTAGAAACCTGACTTTCAGCAGCACAAAGATCTCACCCCAGCCTATGCTGAGCCTGTGGTACCAGTAAAGAGCCTCCTCCCCTCAGTCTGCTTCATGATGACCAAATTCTTCCAACCTTCATAATTCGGAAATTCTATGATTTTATAGCAACAGAAAAATCATGATATATTTGCTGGAAAAGCCCTCCCCCCTCACTGTACTCTTACCTGGAGCTCTAGGCCTCCAGCTCCACAGGTTGCCTGAGAGCCACTCCTGCAGCCAATGGCAGTGACACACACTCTGGGCACAAGGGAAGATCAGTAGCAAGGACCCTCTTTGGGAAGGTGATTTACAACCAAACCCTTTTCCCATGCACAGAGAAGGGGATATATTCTCATCCTGCTGAGTCCAAGGGAAGAGGAGCTCTGGTCAGGCAGATGCCCAAAAGCCTGTTGTGTGTCACACAACACAACACAACACTGATGAAGAAAAGTTGAGGAACATCCTTCTGTTGAAAGCTGGAGCCTGAGAACCTCCATTGGCACATCCTTCCAGAAGATGCTGACATGGATGGCTGCCCCATCCCACCCACCATGGCTCAAAATCCCACTGGAAAGCATGCCCCAGTGTGGTGTTTCCTGAACCATTCCTTAGTGAAGCAACAACAGAGTGGATCAGCTCTGGAGGGAGATTTCCATCAGCAAACTTGGCTGATGGGCAGGGAACCATCTCAACAAAGAGCTTGATCCTGCATCCCCAGTCTCCTCACAAACTCGGCAGAGCTCGGCCTGCTCAAAGCCCCAGCAGAGCATTTATTTATAGGTGATGGCAGGGGAAACAATGCCTTCTTGCCCACTCTGGTTCAAGCTTCTCACCATGTCCTCCCTGTTAGTCCACAAGCTCCGTTTAGTTTCTAATACCTGCTGCCGTAAAATTTAGGGTTCTACTGACCAATGGTGGAAGGAGACTGTCTTCCCATTCCTTCAAGGCACACATTCCTGCTCCCCGCCCCACCACCCCTCTCCTCCCTGTGAGTGAAGCTGCACTTAAAGGAGGATAGTTTGGGTTCTCAGTTCCCCCGTGCCAGAAATGGTCTATCTCACACTCTTTCTGACAAGTCGCCAATAGCTTGCATTTAATGCACTGAAACAAACCCAAAAAGCCCAAGATACCCAACAGAGTTTTGGAAAGAGGAGCTGAAGTAGGTGGCCCCTGTCTTACAGCTGTAGTACCCCTGTAGGTGGCAGAAACAGCTTGAAACAGTATTTTGGAGCCTACTTGAGCTTTAGTCGGGCAGCGGCCCAAGGCATGACACACAGTGAAGGAACAAATAGCTTTCAAGCCTTATTTTATTTTCATGCATTTACTGTCATGGTCAGAACCCCCACGTGACTTGTAGAAGTGAGGCACTGCCCTCATCGTGTCTCAGAAGTCGTCCAGAGGATCATCTCTGGTCTTGCCAGTCTGAAAACTGACAAGGGCAGGATATAAGTTCTCCGGAGGAAGGCCCACAAACACCTTTAAGTGGACATATTCAGTATCAGCAACTTGGACCTAGAAAACAAAACAGGGGGAAAGTGAGAAGCATGGCTTGAAGCAGGTTCAAACAAAAGGATACTCTTTACATACTTAAAAGACTGTCTTTGCCGTGGAGCTTAATTTGAGGTTCTATCTCCACTTTTTACTTCCACAGCTCTTCACCCAAGTCTAGGTAGTACTTGCTGTCTACACCTGGAGAAAACTCTATAAAAAACCTTCCGTCTCAGATGAAGGGAAAATGAGCAGGACTGCTTGAGGGTGGAAGCACCAGAAGGCAGAACAGGAGAAAGGTTTTGATGGTGTCCTCTTTTGGTCACCAAGATGTCAGCACATCAGCTCTCAGCCTCTTGGCACACTCAGGGTGGAAGACAAGACCCAGTGAGTCTTAATGACTCAGGGCTGGGACAAGATGCAGAGACAACATCCGTTCTTAGTACAGAAAGATCCATCCCAAACCAGCATGTGGTCCTGAGAAGCAATGACAACCTGAAAGCCTTGTCTGCAGATTGGGAAAGAAGAGACAAATCTGGGATGCAACTGGGCATGACTTCTGGCTGTACTTCAGCCCTCCAGTAAATTGTTACTCTTCATTACTCAGTGCTTTGTCCACAACGTGAAAGCACATCTCACTGGAGCAAGGAAAGGATAAATATCAATCATGTAGCTAAGACTCTGACTAGCCACAGAAGAGGTAGTCTGTCAGTACAGCCCCCTGGTGCCCACAGAGCACAAATAACTGGTGTTATTTTAAAAAAAACACCTGGGAGAGATGTTTCGCACTGTCTGTCCTTCCTGTCATCAACTAAATATGAGAAGCGTGGAGCAAATGCTCACCACATCTCTCTGCAGAACTACTCTCCCCCAAATGCTACCAGACAATTTCTTTCATAAAGATTCTGACTCTTGTCAGGGGAGCGTGTCCCACCAGGCACATGTCCCCACACACGTGGGGTTTGAGAGACAGCAGTCCCATGCCATGTGTGCTCTGCTCCAGAAGGCCAGCCTGCTGCTCAGCAGTGCTTGCTGGCCTTCAGATGCAAACCACACCCAGCAAGTTCTTCCGTGCTACTTCACAGAAAGCTGCTCACAGACGTGGGTAAGGTTTTCTAGTAGAGGATGAATGGTGCTCTCAGAGGGATCTAAACTAAGCAGGACTGGTTTTTCCTCCACAGCAGAGAGAGGGTTTGGAAAATACAGAAAGAACTATTCCTCTTCTACAGTAGTGCCGAAGAGAGGAATTTTATAAACATCCTGAGATAGTCCTCAACTCTATTACTCACATCAGATGCTTTTCTACCACACCTGCTTCTCTTTCCAGCTCTAAGCTACTCTGCAAGTCACCTGTATTGTTGAACTGCAAAGCACTCCCTCCTATATCATATACAAACCTTAATCAAGTAATTTGTCCCAGCAACTACTTGACTCCTGTAGAGTATGGCTCTAAAGATGTCATATCTCCCGTTTACCCTCACTTCAAGCTGTAGTTTCACCTGTAAAAGAAAAGGAAAAATGGTTGGCAGGTTCATACTCGGGCTTTTCTTTCACATCTACCACTTCAAATCCCATCCTTTCAAACATACATCCTTGATAAAATAAATCCAGAACCCCCACTCTAAATCGATTTACACCAGGACCTCCAGCACTGCCTCCAGCACTATTTAAAATCCTGTGAGAAGGAAATTTCCTAACTGATTTTCCTGGCTCCAAAGCTGCGCAGCTGAACAGCCTCCTGCTCACTACAGACAGCAAACTGCTACTTGCTGCCCTTTTGATTCTGGATCAAAGGATGGAGGCACCAAGCCATGCCCCCTATCAGGGTACACCCTGTGTTCAACCACACTGTTACACAGAAGTGCAAGCCAGCTCCCGTCATCTGGAACACCAGTGCCCATGCCAGTCAGCCTGGGAGGCTGAAAATCCCTGCTCTGTTTCACAACCTCAGAGCTGCACTCAGGTCCTCTGATGCTTTTCTTCTAAAATATGCACAGTCTGGAAGCACAGAAGGACTGCCCCAACATAAGGGTATTTTCCTTAGAGAACTATACCCAAGCCTCTGTGATGGGGAGGGACCAGGAAGAGTTCTCTCTCCTGCTCTCAGTACAAGGCAGAAAATAAAGAACAAAGAATCATCTGTTTTTATTCTCCTGAAGTTACTGAGAATGAAAGAACACCAAAACTAAGATCATTCCTCTTCTGGAATCAAACAGAAAATCTCAACATCCACATTTCAAATGCCATATTTGCCCTGTACTTTGGGAGCATTAGCACAGCCTGAAACCAGCATTCATATGATGCCTTAAGCCCCCAATGGTTTTTTTATTTTTCTAATATTTGTAAGACTTGTAAATTTTATAGGTAGGTTTTAAAAGCAGAAACCCCTTTGTGCCTTGTTCCTTTCCCTTGTTTATACATTCCCTAACCCTCTTACCCCATTCTATGCCTTCTATATCAACCTACCCCCGAATCCAGTAGCAGTGTTTAGTCTTTTGTCAAGGCAAAGGCCTAGACTGTTTGGAGAACAGCGTATCGGGGCCTAAACCACAGAGTACGGTCAAAAACTAGGTGACAATATACCCTTTGTACTCTGATGAAGCTGAAGATGATGAAGTAGGTGGTCCCAAAAAGACCCCAGACCCAATTCTCAGGGGGAGGGTCCGGGGCGGTCCAGAGGAAGGGCCAAAGAGTGGACACATCTGGGATTGGATGGATAATGTTATAAAATGTAACCTCTAGGGCACGGCCTCGCGCGCGTCTATATCACCTATTGCCTTGGCAAATAAACCCTTTCTTATCTCACCCCTAATTAACTGCTCCGGAGATTTTTTCAGAACCAAAATACACCGGCAACAATATTTGGAATTAGAGCCTGTTTGCTCACTGACAGCCTAGTGCTGAAATACTTTGGATCACCCAGGAATGACACAGCCCAGCACTGAAAATGTAGCTCAGTATCTGGGATGCTGCACTGGCCCAGCCATGTTCAAAGGAAGCCCTTGAGGCATTTCGCAAGACTCATTAGTCAAATTTCAAGCCCCCAGTTGGCCTGAGACATTGCCCTCCTCATCTTACACATGAGCAAACACGAATGGCAAATACACAAAGGTGCTACAAGTCCCTGCTAGGGTCTCCCCTCCGTAGGCAACAGGGAATTCCTCATCTCTACAAGTGCTGCTCCTACAACCACTTGTGCCAGCAGAAGAGGAACAGTGATACTGCTCCTGAGTCATTCAATTGGTGTCCCCCAAGCAATTGTAGATCATCCTTTTCTCTTTCTGTTCTGCAGTAAATTATCTCCCCTCTGACTGACCTGTTACCCCATACTTCAGCCCTCCCCCATGTACATATACCCAACTCTGGTGAGCCCAGCTGTTTCTCAGCAATTAAGCCCCACAACGGAGAAGGCTCAGGGGAGCTGGGGAGGGCAATGTGCTGCCCACAAAACCCCCTGGATAAAGCAGGGTGTGACTGACCACAGCTTTTGCAGATAAGCTGACTTTACCTCAACACCAAGGGGACCACAAGGTGTTTTAGACAAATAGCTCTGTCAGTCGAGGGAATCATTCAGGTGGTGTAACTTCCTGAGCTCAATAAAGGAAAGGAAACACCCTCCTGAATTAGCCAGACCAGCATGGAGGGAGTGAATACGTGGCTCTGCCCAACACACAGTATAAAAACTAAACAGGGAACACAAGAATTTTGAAAAAAACAGCTGGCTAGAAGTGGCTTCAACCCACCGACCCCTTCCTGGGGACTGAGGAGCTTAGTGTTGTGACAGGGAGCATGTTATACAGACCAGTGACAGAGACCACACCAGTGTCATCACTGAACTGTGTATTGCAATTGCTACATTCTGCTGACAGTAATTAGATCTGCATCGAGTTAGCAGAATATTTGTATCCCTCTGCTAAATCACAAGCCTTGTGTGACATTAAATACCTTCAAGTAAGCAAAGCGGGTTTTAAACGATATCCCCTCCACCTGTGCACTACCTAAATCAATCCTGCTGGGAACCCTGCACAGGGAGTGTGCAGCAGTGTTGGCTGATGCCTTCAGCCCCACCCTTTCCTGGGGGTCTTTCTTCAAGGATGGCATAAGTTACACTTGGTGCAATGGCTCAAGAGGGAAGAACTCGTCTTGCAGACAGAGGATGAAGGGGCTCAGGTAGGTGGGAAGACAAGACGGGACACACAGACGGAGTCTTCCCATGCCACGTTGCTCCCCTCCAGCTCCTAAGGATGCAATTTATACTTATTTGAAAAAGAGCTGCTGTACTGCAGGGCTGCTGCTATCACAGCTGCTTCCAGGACAGGACCACTGTCTGTGACCTGCCTGCCTTGTGCCAAGCCCACCTTGCCCCACGGTCTCACTATTTGCCCTTGCATCATAGTTGTGACTCCAGAAAACAATGCCAGCAGAGAACATACCATTTATCTGTTGCCTTGTCCTGTTTAAATCATTTTTTAGGGCAGACTGGCATGTAGTTGGTCCCATCCATGGCCTTCAGGGAGGAATTAGTTCTACCACGTACAAGCTTCTCCCTTCAAATACGCCTCCTCTCATTTCAAACAAGCCCCTTCAGTGCTGGCGTAGCAGAACTGGGCTTTGAACTACATGTGAACATTCACTGAAGGTAGCCACTTTAAACCCTGCTTCAGTATCAGCATCTGGTCTCTCAGCCTTTACACAACCTTCAGCACTCAGCTCTTTGCACACAGAGACTTCATCTATAGACTAGGCACAACTCACCGCGTTGGTGATATCCTGGACTTCTTGAGCAGCACACTTGGGGTCAGAGAAGTTCCCAGTGATAGATGACATGACAGGTGGTTCTGAAGAGGGAAGTTTAGCACAGTCTGAGCAGAGTCACCAGGCATCTTGCATATATATATATATATATACACACACACATACACAGAGAAACGTGTGTGTTGAATTAAGAGTAAGAAATCTGTCAGAAAATAAACCCCCCTGCATTCCAGCTGGGCCTTGGGGCAAGAGGGGCTGGGTATGGCTACACTTAATTTAGGATTAGAAGCAAGTCATCACTGTAACTCTAGTCATGTTCAATACGAACTTCCACGAGCACAGATTCACAAATAGTGTGGTTTACACTTTGATTGCAATCAAGGAGAACTTCTGCGCTCACAGATTCACAAACAGTTCGGTTTATTGAAGCAACAGAAATTCAGATTTGAAACTGCCATTGGTAAATGCACCTGCTGCAACGAAGCTCTAACAACAATAATAATATTTTACTAACCTGGGGAATAGTAACAATCAGACACAAAGGCTTACCACAAAGACGTTCCTGCTTGGGATGAGAGAGAGGAGAGTCGTCCGTTGACTGTCCCTGAGGTCTTTTTGGGTCTTCCCTGTACTTCGATGAAGTTTCTGCCCTCCTTATATACAGCCCAATGGTATCCTCCTCCTCCTTTTACATATGGCGTGATCGAAGTGGAGAGCTGAGTAAGATAGCAATGTGTGGTAGCACGTACTTCATTAACCTCATTGACATATGCAGGGTGGTTCTGTTTCCTGTTCAAATGACTCTTAATTTTTGGGCCTGGTATGCTTCAAGGTTCCGGTCTTACGATTTTGTTTTGGTCTGTTCTGTTTGTCAGAGCCAAAAGATGATCATCCTGGCTCCACAGCACCTCCTCCTTCCGCCAACACATCCTTTCTTGACGTCAACCATGCCTATCTCCATCCGCAAAGATAATGTAGAGGGTATCCACTGTAGGTCATAAATAGGCAGCCTTAACCATTGCCTGGCCCCTGGGTCCTCATCCCACACTGTCATGGAATCATGGGACCTACAACACATGGAGCCTACCATTACTGAACTGGAGAAGCCAACTAACTGGGAAAACGGGGGGGGGGGAAGCAATGTAAAATGCTGATAATATTAATAAGAAATGTAAAAAGCACTTTAAGAATCTTAAGAGAGTTCAGTCTTCAGGTTAATAACAAAAGCAAACACTGGACCCCAGCCACCTACTTCGCAAGACAATTGTTTTGGGCTGCAAATGGAATTTCTTGCCTCTTCACCCATGTGCAGATAACTGCTCTGTGCACTTAGGAAATGGATCAAAGTCACACCCAGTATTTCCCAATACTATTCAAGATCAGAAGAAAGCATGCAGTAATTTCCCTACTGCAGGTCCCGTTCAACTTGGAATTTTATTACCTCAGTATCCTTCCCAATGCAAAAGAGGAGCAGATTGCATCATATCTTCAGTGACTTGACTTCCCTCTGCCTAACCAGAAAGGTGCCAAGGTAAACACCAGCACCAGAAGTAGAAAAAATTAAATTCCAGCTGCTGGTGAGTACTGCAAGAATGGTATTTCTGCTTCTTTCCCATCAGAAGCAGAAGCTCTAGAGCTGCATTCAGGCAATACATAATAACAACTGAATATACAGTAACATTTACATTTCAACTCAAACCCTAGTGCCAATTGCTGGAAGACAAAGTACCATCCCTCTTGCTAGAGGAGCAGTGTGGGCACAATTGCTGTCCTAATGCCAAGGTACACTGCTGAAACAGGCAACACGCAGAATATAGAGTCAGAAGGATTAATTCCCAGTTACAGACACATGGCACAGTCACATTCATGACTATACATGAATGGAAAAAGCTCAAAACCTACTGAGGGACGACTAATAAGTTTTACCAGCCCTCCTAGGTAAGGGAGAACTAACACTTCCAGACCACAAAAAAATTTACTCCCCTTTGGTATTCCTGCCATCCCTCTCTCCAGAAAACAGGAGGAATATTGTGCCAGAGCAAGGACCAGAGAGGCACCAAGAGACCAGACAATTTGTAGTCTCCAGGGGTGGGTACATGGGAATAGGTGAAATGAGACTACGTGCTGCACACAGGCAAAGGGCACTTCTGCTGCAATCAGCACAAGGTAGTTTGCCCAAAACAAGCGTGTTTATGGCCACAACAGTGGGGTCTGTGTAGCACAGACTTACCAGTGTGCTACCCAGGCTACTGACCCTCCTCCTCACAGGTGACAAGCGATGCAACAGGCTGTAAACTTCACACCTGACTTCTAGGCCCGTTCTTGGTACAAAGGACCTGACATTCAGAATCTGGGGCTCTACGGGCCCTAAACTCAACAGTATATAGACCAGTGTTAGAGCTGTTACCGATAAAGGTGTTGCAGAATTTCCCAAACTTGAGCAGCAGTGCTATGGGAGGGCATGAAAAACATTTGAGGAGAAACAGTTGCCTTGAGACAACATCTTTCTGAACCAAGAGAAAAATGCTTCCAGTTCTCAGGAAGAAAAGGAATGGGAGCTGCTGAAACTGCTAATGGCTGTCCCAAAATCCAGTGATAGTTTTAAGACTGGGATGCAGTACTCATCCTGCACACATACTTCAGGAAATCATTTTGAAGTGCTGACGTTTCACAGACCTGTCATCAAAGATGATCAGTGGCAATGGATTAACCTCACCCTAGGCAACCTTCGCCTACACCCCTCTCTAGTCAGCTTCAGATGTAACAAAATAGGATTTGGAATAAAAGCATGAAAAGAACGGTGGCTCCCATTCCATCCCCTGCACAACATCAACAAGCTAACGCCTGTCCCCTCTTTTAGGATTTGTGACCTCTGATCTTACGTACCATTCCAGCCTGCACTCTGCATTTGCACAGATGAGAATTTCCCTTCAATTTACTGCTGTTATATTGGAGAATCTCTGCTGGCAGAACATCTCTGGCATTCTTTAGAGTTGTGAAGCTGAGTAACATCTTGCACCATGTACTACCCCAATAAGGAAGAAACAAAGTTTACAGCTTGCAGGCCACTACAGTCTGGTCCTGTATATGCAAGTTTAAGAACTACAAGCTACAGTAAATAAAAACACTGGTACAGTAACAAAACAAAGCAAACAAAAATATAAAAAAACCCTGACCGAAATCCAAACCGCAGAGTTATATATTTACAAGTCATCTTTAAACCAGAAATGAAGTCAGACACCTAATTGTGACTGGATTATGATACATGATCTGAATGCTTTTAAGAGCTTCAAGAGGAAAGCAGCCATCCATGTACCAGTTGAAGATCTTTTTTTATCTCCACAGTAACATCAGCCTTGATTTTCAACATGCTGGTCTGCAAAAAAGGTTTCCCCTCCTGCTACAGACCCTGAAATCAACAAGAACTAATAGATGCCTGACCTTCAGCAGCACAAAGTCATCGTATTCCAGCCTATGGTGAGCCTACAGTGCCAGTAAAGAGTCTCTTCCCCTCACTAGGCTTCCAGACGACCAAAGCCTACCCTTAAATATGTTCTGTAAAGAAATTTCCTGTTTCATCACTCTTTCACACCTACAGGCTGCAGAACACAACAGCACTGAGTGCCAGCAAAAACACATCTCCTTCTATTTTGCAGAAGAAAATAAGATGCACGAACTTGAGAGGACTTTCCAAGCAAGTGGGATCTGTCCACCTCTATCCACCACTTCCAAGAAACAGGAAAGCCCCAGTACAGGAGCAAGGATGTCTTGGACTCTGGACAGGGCCATCAGTTGTGCTCAAGTGCCTTTACTTTCAGAAATAAAAGTTAAAACCAGGAAAAGGATTTAATTCTGCTATTTGTAGGGTCCATTATTTGATTCCCATGTGACACCAAGCAGCCCAATAGTTTTGTAACTACCTCCATGGTAACGCTGAAGCAAGGTTCAATCCAGACTTAACCTGATCCTAGAATGGATGGGGTCACTAGATAGAGATTTTACCGGTCTGTGTTCAGCATGGCCCACAGCTCATACCAATGCCATTTCGGACCATCACAAACCATCCCCCTTCACAGGCACATCTGAAAGACTCAGAAAATAGCAGAGCCATGTTCTCCTGCCCCGTGCCCCAAAGCACAGCATGCAATTCCACTTACCTTCTTGTTCCACCAAGTTCAACAGCAAGATATAAACAGCCTCTAATCCACATGATTTGCCATGGACTACTGTAGGAGATATCCCTCAGCACTCAGAGCAAACTAAATGGAGCAATACAACTTCTTAGTGCAACCCTCTGCATACAAGCTGCAGACACCCAAAGAAGGGGTGTTTGGGACTTAGGAGTCTTCTTATGGTGTCTGAAGTATTTCAGAGACAGCTTTGTAGAGGGCTACTTCTTTGCCCTTATATTCAAAATGAAAATAAGGTTACGTTGGATTGGCTTTTTGGTGTTTTAGTTTTACACAGTTTTCTCATAACAAATTTAAAAAAAAAAAAATCTGTGTATGTATCACATCCATTTCACAGGTCATTTTTCACAGCATCTGCTAAAGCGAATAAGTTTTCCCACAACAGCTGAGCAAACATCTGGATGGATAAAGGAGGACAATGATTAATTCTCATTACAGTCTCTAGTTTCTACAGAAACACAAGATTAAATTTCAAGAGTATTGATGCCAACTCTTTACGCTAGCAGAAGACTCTATCACACAACTGGCTTAAAAGGCGAATTTGTCCTTGCAGTTGACCCAAGCCACGGAGAGAACAAGTATTTTAGACACCTACAGAAGAGGTCACTATTAAAGTACCGACTTTGAAATAAAAGCTGACTGTTCTCAACATCTCATTAATCGATCATGTCATGAATTTAGGTTACTGCTAATTCAGCCCATAGTTCTGAGCAGTATTTGATTTCCATTTTGATGAAAAACAATTATAAGAATTTAACGGTTGATGAACAAACATGTTTTCTGCTTTCAGAGTTGCAGAAAAACAATGAGAAATCTTCAAGAATGAGATGAGTGCTCCAACTCGAATAAAGTTCTGCATAGAACAGTTGCAGTACCTTGAGAAAAAAAAGAAAAAAAATGAGGTTTGAACATTAGGATTTACATCCTCAAAGATTTAAAATATATTTCTGCCTCATTCTCAGAAAAAAAAAAGTGAGACTAAATGACCTTGCTGCCTAAAAATAAAAGGTCACCAAGTAGTTGCAGTCTCTACTGGACAAACAACTATAAAACAGATGATACTGCACAGATCTTTGTCAGCTTTCAGTGTCAAAGGTCCTGCACGTACTTGCCACCCCCCCATATATGCACAGCTTTTAGGTATCTTGAGAGTATGCAGTAATTTCATTGCTCTTGCTGAATTGCAAGATGGAGCCTGTATTTTTAATGCTCTGTTCAAATCCAGTGGTTATTAAAGATATATTAAAGATATATGACTGAGAAATAAAACTAGCTGGCAACCATGCAGACCTTGTCATTTGACTGACAGCCTGAGTTAGTAAAAAATAAAGGTATAATTATTATTAATTAAGTTTTCCTCATACTTATCTGTCTATTACTGCAGGGGTATTGCATTAAAGCTTCCTAACACAACACTATGGTCAGAATCAACAAGGTCAGCTATGCACAGGTCTTATCTCAACTCAAAAGCAATTCACTTGTAGAATTAATTTTAAAGGTTCAGAAGGTGCGACAAAAAATAATCACTGGACTGTTAACTGTCTCATTCCCAAAGGAAACATACCTTCATCTCCAACTCAAAGTGGTTTTAATCAACACCTCATTCCCTATACAAAGGAAAAATTCAGAACTTGGTAACACATACTAAAGGACAGTATGCAACAGATGCTGCCTGTCAGCATTGTAGGAGCAATGGCAAACCTGTATCCACACACAGCTCTGAGCCAATGCTGCTCCTGTTAAGCAGTTTGGAATAATGCTGACAGTTTCTTACTTTCAGGGATGCTGAACCTACTACACATGCTGATTATTCTGCAATTTTTATTTCCTTGCAGACTTTAGCAGATTTGCTGTACAAACATACCACGCTCACTTGATAGTTTAGCAGGCACCAGGTCAGGGAGAGCCTTGTCCTCCCTGCTCAGAGAGGCCTTTTACTGTTTCTTCCCCTCTGGGACTGCTGAAGCTGTAGAAGTTCAAGAAAGATGCCAGTTTTGCATTCCATTTCAAAATTATTTTAATACTATAAAACTCATTTGTTCACATATTTGGTACAAAAGATGAATTGTTTTCTCTCAATTACAGGAGAATCACTTCAGCCTTGAGATGTCAGCTAAGTAGGTCCAAAACAAAACAAGACTGGGTTCTACTGGTTCTGGAGGGTCCCAATACAGCTCACCCAAGGTCTCTTTCCAGTTTGGCTCTCACAGTTATGGACCACCTTGATGGAAAATATCCCACATCATTGACTCTTTGGAGGCTTGTAGTGAATTCGGCACCGCTCATTAAATACCTGAGACACCAAAACAGAAGAGCAAAAGCAAATCAGCCCTCATCCAGGAGATCAGAAAAACTACACAGCTAGTTCAGGCAATGACCTCTTCACATAGCACACATCTCAGGCTGCCCAGTACTCATGTACCAATAAATGGTACTTACCAAGGCATCTGTCTCCATTCACCTTCTCTCCTGGCTTTAGTGAATGCAAAGTTTGTAGCCTGATGCTGGGGAACTGCACAGCACTAAGTGCTCACCCTAAGACAAGGCAGACTCTTAATCCTGGTAGTCTGTTACCATCCAAGATGCTGATGACTTTTTGTTTTTAAAAGGGAGCAATAGAATCACTGGAAGGCTCCTGAATGGTTGTGTTCCGTTAACTTCACTCTGACATTCAAACGTGGATGCTGTTTTCCTCTCCTTCCTGAGCAAACATATTTTACATTGTCATGACAGCTAAGAAGAGGGGCCAGGGCTCCTGGAAGCCACAGTGACACTCAGTTATCTGCCAGCAGGTGCCAGTGCTGCCAGCACTCCCATGCAAAGGGCACAGCGCTCTTGCCTCACTCACCTCTGGCACCTTCTCTGGGTAAAATTTAGCACACAGAACCGGATCCTGATGATCCTGTATATTTAGCTTGACCTGCTGCAGGCCTTGTCAAGCAGACTGCCTGCCCTAAGGAAGGCCAATAAACAGGACTATTTAAAAGAAGGCAGTCTGAATCAAAAGCACAACATGCAGGCTCCCACCAAAGTCGCAGGGGCTCTCACAAGACAGTCAGTTATGTAGTGACTTGGTCCTGCACATGCCTCAAAAGTGATACGAGCAGCACCCAGCACCAAGCCGAGGCACTGGCAGCTGTTGGGTGCCCCACCAGCACTCCCACAAGAGTGCATTTTGCCAAGCTGTGCAGGGACTTGGCAGACCCAAATGCCCACGATCATCAGGATATCAAGTTTGGTGAACTCTCCCATTGGCTTTACAAAGTGAGTGATCTTGTAATTTTGGGGAAGTTATGCATCACTTTATATAAATATGTTATTTCAAGCTGTTTCTTCCTAGAATCTTCTACTTCTATAGCTGATCTCCTTATTCAGAGTTCAAAACCCATCTTGAGAAAAAGTTTGGAGCACACATTAGTTACAGCATTGATTCTCAACAATTTCTGAGTAATTTTCAACTTACTTTCACATTTAATTTATTTTATAAAACAGACTTGTATTAGAAACTGCTTCATATTGCAGAAAACAGAAGTTGTGATATAGTTTCTTTCACTCATATGCAAATTATGTTACCATTATGTTACCACAGGCAATGGACACCTCTGGCAGAGTTAAGACTATGTAAATGTTTGAGATCAGATCAGGGATAGGAGGAAACTGTAGAAATTAAGAGTAACAGAGGGTTTCAATTCAGAAGCATTTTAATATTAAACAAATTGCACCACTTTTGTCCATTGTCTATTAAAGACATTTAATATGGCATATAAGTCTAAAAGGATACTGGAAATATGCTCAAAAACACTGCAAGGGTCTCTTGCATCAAAACCCACACTAGCTTGCTTGCTATCATATAAAAACATCTTTAACAGTTAACTCCACAACCCACAGAAGGAAGATCAATACTATAATCTTACTAACACTGCCTCTTACTTTCAGGATCATTGACTCAAGTGTGTTATTTGGGTCCCTTTAACTCCATTGGTCTACCTGTCAAGTGCTATTCTCATTTTTCAGACAGGAAAAACAGTGCCTGAGAAACCTTAACATTAATGTTGCTATGCAGAAGTTTGATTTTGTTGGCTTTTACATATTAGTATAAAATACTCCAACGATAAACTCCAGTGTCAAGGTGCTGTACAGAGACTAATGCAAGTGGTTTGTTTTGGAAGTCAATTCCTTGTCTGGCATCATCCAAAGTCCACTGCCTGCATTTCTATAAAGCAGCATCTTTCTGTATGCCACTACTGGTACAGCTAGCCAGAGTGTTTGAAATTAACTGTTTCCTAATCAGATTTTTCCAGTCAGTTTACAGTTGGTTAGGGTTAAGGGAAATACATGAGTGTATTTCCCAGCTAGAAGTCTGCAACAGTAAAACACCAGCCTGCAAACCAATAACCACTTCCATGTAACAAACTGCATTTTGCCCACAGCTGTGACTGGTTCTAATTCCTTCAGTGACATATTTTCACAGGCAGCTTAATAAGACAATTAAGTGTATATTCAGAGCATGATAGCAGAGCTGAAGATAAAATCTAGAAATAGTTATCTCCTCAAGCCCCACTCTTTAACACTTGTTGAGGAATACGCTAGCAAGCTAAAATACCCCTGCGCCATTCATACCTTACTATTTATAAACTCTCCATCTTCTGGAAAAATTAGACAGTTCTGTCACTAGAAAAACCTTAGGGCAGCTACAAGAAAACACTGGGACCAGTATTAAATTTGGTATCAACTCAGTACTTCAGAATGAAGATGAGGGCAGGGGCTGTTACTCTATAGCAGAGTTGCCATAAAATATTTGCCACTGGGGACCTGCAGTGTGTTGTTAAGGCTCTGCCACTGCTTAGTCAGATCTGAGCTGGTTTATAATTAATTAAACTTAAGGGCATGCTTAGCTTTTTGGGACAGTACAGAGGTAGTACTGATAGCAAAGCATACATGAAAACTGTGTAAATGCTCATCTCATCAGCCCACAGTTACTGAAGAACACACAAGACAAAGCTGTATCGCTTTTACAACGATGCAATCTAGGGAACTAAAATCATGAAGTAGAGATTGAAAATGGAGGTGCAGCTAGTACTAGCTATTTGCAAAAATCCTTTTTGCATTTAGAGAGGGAAAGAAGTTCTCTCTGCAGTACTGAAAGCTCGGAAAAGCTACAACAAACCAAAGAAGAATGCTAGATGTGAAACGCTGCAGTGACACAATACAGCCACCTCAGAATTTAAGCTTAAGTGTTAAGATCACTCTATAACGAGACAGATTTTAGGGCCATCAAACCAGAGGGTTTGATCTCCCTCTACTGACACGGGAGAGCAACGGCAAGGCTGCCCTTTGCACCATGGAGTGTCAGTTCAGGCCTGAAGAAATTCGACCACAAAAAGGTTCAAACTCCACAGCCACACCCTCCCCTGGGTCAGCACCAGACAGGCAAATTTGAAAGACCCATTTCTCTGGCACTGTTAGAGGCCTTGGAAAGCTTTTCAGATAGGCCACCACAGAAAAGTTTACAAAGTCCTTAGCCACTGGGCAAGGTGGAAAAAGAGACACAGGGAATAATCCACAGTCCTCTTCTCCCCACTAAATCAAACACTTTTCTTTTCCTTGTAGTGCAACTTTAAAGTTTAGGTCTCTGGGAACTGAGGAACTGGGGAAATGACTGACTTGAAACATTTACCCTCATATATTTCTAATTAACTTGTTTCATAAGGTACCAATACCACATTTCCAGTGCAGGACTGTCTGTTGGGACAGAAAATCATCACGATTAAGTGACTGAGTACCTTCCAGCTTCTGTCGTTTACCACTTCTTCAACATTGAGCTCCGACTGCATCAATTTCAACTGTAAAAAGTAACCGAAAAAGAGATTATTGTCAATTGGGCCTCCCTGCAGCCTTCAGTATTTACTACCATTGCAACTTTCTAGCTCACAACCCCAGCACCAGGTGCGCATTCCCCATCCCCCAGAAGGTGTAATCATCTTGAGAGCCTGGCCCTTCCATTCAGCCAATGCTCAGGGCAGAGGGAAGTCTGCAAGGGCATGGTGAAGGCAGACTCAAAATGCAAGCCTAGCAGAAGCAGCTCCTGATTACTAATGCTCTAGTCTTAAAAATTGCCTGTCAAGATTTGCTAGCAGTTAACTGATTAACATTAATGGCTTCTCAGACATAAATAACTGCGCCTAATTCAAGCATTCAGCACAGCGAATGCCAGGGCTGGGGTTAGCTCTGCAGTCTTGAGTTGTCATTCTTGTACTATTAGAGTCATATAGGGAGCTGGTAGGAAAGCTAGGATTGAACACAGACCTCAGATTCTGGATTCAAAATTAAGATCATAAAGAGACCCCCTCTACTTCCTTTGCTGTCTATTCTGTGCGCTGACCAAAAAGGGTTTGCAGTCTGATCATATATGTTTGTGTGATCTGAACCAATTTTTATTTTATATCATCACAGCAGGACAAATCAGGTGTGCACAGATACAAAAGCTCCAGCAAGAACTACCACAAAACACAGTTTGTGAGCACTCACTCAACCCACGAGAAACATAAGAATCTCTTTGGGGTCTCGCATCTATTGATCTATTGTGTTCAGGGGATCTGCAGTAATTTGGTCCTGAAGTGATAGCAGGAGGTACAAGAACCACCTGCCATTTTTGCCCACATCTAAGATATACTTTTGTTGGGAGTCTTTAACACAACAGACTGAAGATCAGAGTTGATCCATTTTCAATATACAGTTCCAACCAGAGTCTTGTTGAATAGGTGCAAGCCAAGACAGAAGTCCCATCAAAAACCTTCCAAGTAAGATGTTCAGGCACACAGAACAACTAGAGCTGTTGGGTGGACTTTCACCTACTCAACAAGACTTCAAACTGTTTGAAATACCAATCCAGCATCCACAGTGACTAGATGACCACAATAATTCCATAAAATAAACACTCAGAGTATCTTCTGCAGTTCAGAGAAACTACTACTCCAAGTTTTCTCATTCAATGACCCAGAAGTAATAATTATGGATAAAGTCCACTAATTTGTAAAACTAGCAGGATGACAGAAACACATATAAAGAGAGAAAAGAGATCTGTATTGCAATCGAGTGAATATACATTTGAAATGCATAACCTTAAAACCAGGATGTGTTCTATCAGACAGCTTTTCTGAGTTGTAGAAAAAAAAACACAACTCTTATGGAAAACAAAGAACCAAACAAAGCAGGGGGATTACACCTCATAAAGTCCAAGTGCAAATTTGAGGTCATCTCGTCAAAAAATTTCTGAGAGGTTTCCAAATCATGGACTGCTTTTAACATTTAAAATCACCTCTAATCATTAAACATTATCACTATGATCCTCCTAGTGGTTTCATTGAGAAGTTCTGGGCTCAGTAACTAAACAACTTAAAGAACTGGCTCTGCAAACAAAATCTGTAGAAAATACTAAGCTACCCTTCTGGTTTTACCCAAACTAATATGATGCTTGTTAGCAGTTTAAGTGAGGTTTTAAGAATAAAACCACTCGCCTGCCACACAGTTCTTTCTGTATCCTTTCCCTTACCAAAGGGGCCCTGGAATGGGGCCAAGAACTTCAGCAGGGTTCCTTTCTTCACTACTGATACTCCATCTCAATCACCTCTGTTCACCTCTGGTGAAGTACACTTTCCACTCAGAGGCCAGAAGGCTGAGGGGGCATTTGCTCATCAGAATTTCTTATGCAAACCCAGAGGTCTTTCTCGCACCACCACGAGGGACTCAAAATATTAGTCAAAAAAATATTAAATAGAAAAAAAGATGGTTAAGTGGAATTCAAGGTTGCCTGGCAGCTCCTTGTAGAGGACAGGAAAAGTAAGCTGTAGCTCAGTGGTGTCAGTCAGTGAAGGTTAGAGTCCACCATGGGGAAGTGCAAGTGTTTTTCCATGGTATTTGTGTAACATAACCTCAGAAAAAGCTTCACTTGCAGGATAAAAGAAGCTCTGTCTTGACAGATAGATGGTTCTCACAAATCCAGTCAACAAGAACCTCAGAAAAGACTGCCTGAGTCAGGATCCACTTCAGGTTCTCTCCATTACTTCTTTCTCTCTTTCCACTTGGGAAAGATACCCTCTTCTTCCTCTATAAGAGATCTCTAAAAAGCTCCACCACTCACCTTTGTCTGCTCTTTCCTGAGTTGTTTTAATAATGCTACATCATCCTGGGCCTTTTCCCTCTCTTCTCTGAGAGTTTTCACTACACTGGAAGTCTGAGCGATGCAGTTTTTGATGATTCTTTCTCTGTTGGTGTGAGCATTCATCAACTAAGTGGGAAGAGAAAGAAGGTCACAACAACTCAACAGAGAACAAAAAACAAGTTAAAAGAGAAACTTTCTGAGGTCAGTATTGTTGTACCTACAGAAATCCCTTTGACTCCACAATTCACATGTTGGAAGCAACACTGCTTTGAGCAGCAGCTACCAACCTGATCAAAAGTCAAAGGTATACATAAGGAGTCTTGCAGAATAGCAGGAAAAACGTGCTAGCATCCTTTTTAAAAGAAAAGATGGACTGGGCTAATGCCATCTGCTGAAGCCCAAAGTGCTCCCCAAAAGATGAGCTTTGCAGAACAAAGCGTGGTTTTAAACTGAAGCAGCTGTTACATGCATGTGGTTTAGATGTGCAGAGAAGCTGAGGGGCCAGTTATGAATACACAAAGCACGATATATCAAGGCAGTGTTTTCCTTAGACACTGGGCCCTGAACATGACAAAACAGCAAGGAAGTGACCTGAAAGTCAAAAGTGTGCTCACTCACAGACTCGTACAGCTCTTTACACGTCTGGCTAGGATCAACTTTCCCCACAAAGGAAGCTGTTGGAATCGTAGTATTTAATTCGTGGACAATTCTATCATCGATCGTCCTCATCACCCTGAGCAGCTCCTGTATTAAAAAAAAAAATAAATATATAGCTTGATACATGGTTCTATCTCTGAGAAAAACTTACTAAAAAAAAAATTACATAATTAAGGTTTTTAATAGAAAACTAAGTAGGATTCATTACAGAGTTAAAAACGCACCACAGGAATAATTCCCGCATGCAGGAATATGTGCTGTAAACCACTGAGCTTCCTTGGCAGCAAAGGCCAGAGATGGGGTGAGTAACTGATGCCCCCTAAAGCTCCCCGGCCCTGCCAGCAGTACGGACAGGCTGGAGAGCAGAGCCCTCCAGCCCAAGTCCCCATCTCCACTTCCAGGTAGGAATCTGGGCACGACCTGAACTGAAACTGCAAATTTCAAATAAAAACTCCCACTATCTTGGGGGGCATGAAGCTGAGTCAGGAGAAGTTTAAGTTGGATATCAGGAAAAGGTTCTCCACCCAGAGGGTGGCCGGGCACTGGAACAGGCTCCCCAGGAAGTCCTCACAGCACCAAGTCTGACAGAGTTCAAGAAGTGTTTGGACAATGCTCTCAGGCACGTGGTGTGACTCTTGGGGTGTCCTGTGTGCAGGGCCAGGAGTTGGACTCGATGATCCTGATGGGTCCCTTCCAACTAGGCATATTCTGTGATTCTGTGTTCTAGAAACAGACCGCTCCCCACCGCCCCGGGCCATGCTCGCAGCGCTGAAGACACGCGTGGTACTTCACGCTCACTTAAACGAACGGGAAGGCGCCCCCCGGGAGTTCCCAGCCGCCGCGGAGGCTCCCGAGCCGCGAGCGCTCCGTCCCGGGAAGGGGCCCAGCGCGGGGGGCATCCCGCCACCCGCCCCCTACCGGAGGGGTGAGGGCAGCGGCTGGGGAAGGCCGGACCCCTGCCGCCCTGGGCGTCGGGCATCCCGGCGGCCGGGGGATGGGGTGACCTCGCCGCCCCGCGCAGGGGCGCGCGCTGCCCCGGGGCCGGCGGCGGGGGGGGCGGGAGCGCGCGGGCGGCGGCGCGGGAGGGGGCGGCGGGGGCGGCGGCGGGAGCGCCCGCCTCCGTCCCGGCGCGGGTTACCTGGAACTCGGCGGAAGTCCTCGCACAAGCCCGCGGCTATCCCGCTGGGCGCCGGCCATCCCTGGATCGGCCAGGGCGCGCGGCGCCCGAAGTCCGGCGGGCAGCCGGGATGACGCGGCGGGCGAGCTGGGGCGGGACTGCGCCGGAGCGCGGCCCCCTGGCGCAGCGGCCGCCCGGCCCGGCATCTCCACCCGCGGCGAGCCCGCGACCCTTCCTCCGTCTCGCAGCTGCGGGCAACAGCTTCCGGCCGCCCGCACAGAGGGCCGGTGCCACGGCGGCCCCGAGCGCTCCGCGGCGGCGTCCCCTCCAATCTGCGGGTCCGGGGGCGGGCCACGGCGGGTGACATTGAGGGCCGCCGAGCAAGGGCCGAGGCACGCCATGTGGGGCCGCGGCCGGTGAAGGTGAGGGACTGCCCCGGGGCCGAGCTCCAGCTTGCCGGGCGGGCTGCCCCCGGCTCGCCCCCCTGCCCCGGGACCCCCGCGGAGCCGGAGCCGGAGCCGGGCCCGGCGCGGTGGGAGCGCGGAGCGGGGCCGGGCGGGGCGGGCGGCGAAGCGAGCGTGAGCGGCCTCGTCTGATGGGCTGGCGTTAAATACAGTGTCAGGAACGGAGTTGTGCCTCTTATTTTCCTTATCTGAAGACCTTGAAAAGGGTCTGGTTCCGTTAGGGGCGGTCGCCTGTAAATGTAAATGATTTATTTTTTCAGAGCGGGAATGCATTATGCCTCCAAAGCGGTTTCTCTTAGGAGAGATACCTTCAGACAGCATAAAGGAGGAAAAAAAAAACCCTCATTTTATTTTTTTAAAAGTGCTCTTTTTGCCTTTCAGTGTTGGTTTGGGTTTTTTTTCCCAGATTTTTAAAATGATATTGATGAATTAGAAGCTCCTTTTAGAAAGTCTGTTCTTGTATAAGAGGTGCCCTGACGTCTTCTGATGTATTAGAAAGTAGTTATTCTCTCTGTACAGCAAGATTCTGCTTCTTTGTCTTTTTCCTTGACTCTGGCATTGCTTTTGGGATATGACAGGATTGGTAGAATGCTGGTGTGCAGTCCCAGAAATAGCACCATCCAAAGTGTACCTGAAGCATATGAATAGATGAATTTCTGGAAATTGTGATATGCATTGTGTTTTAGAAATTGCTTGTAGGCTGTAATCTTGTATTCCTTTTTTTTTTAAATTATGTTAATTGCATTCTCATTTTTCTAATCAAAGTTAATGGACAAGCTTAAGACATAGCTTATAGACAAGTTTTAATTTCATAGAGTATTACAACTAAATCTGGTACTTCTTGCCTTGTATTACATTTGTACTTATTGTTTTTCTTTCTTTTTTTCTCTTGTGTTTAAAAGAAAAACCCAAACATTTCCATTGAAAAGCTAGTATTCTACTAGCTCTGAGTTAAATTCGACCTCTTTGCTTCCTGTTTTCTCTTCCAGATAGGGCTGTTAAACTGCTGGGAAGAAATATTCCTTCAATTCTAAGGATGACTGAAGGAGTGGATCTGAAGATAAGCAGAAGGCTTTGCATTAAACCCCAGGAAGAAAGTCAACTTCAGTCAAAGAGTAAGAGTTTTTTATAAGATCTTGCTATGTTTTATGCCACTGAATACTCGGATATCCATGCTGCAGTCATCTGAACAGGAATTTGGCTGACATAGATGCTGATGTCCCTGATTTTGTGAGAGTGAGTTTTGATCTGTAGACAGGAAAATTGAGCATTACATGTAGCAATAAAGTCCTGTTTTCTAACAAAGCCAGGGGTCAATATTTCTGCTTGTGACGATAACACAGCTTTCACTTTGTAGCAGGTCACTGGTGTCTTATCTTGTGTGCATTCCTACACTGAGGCTCTTCGGCTGTGCTCTGGAAATGGCTGTTCAGCCTCAGTGTAAACTATTAATGTTTAGGAACATTGTATGAGCTAAAATACTTTTGCAGTTTTTCAGAGTGCAACCAGCTCCAGCTGTTCCCAAAACTGAACATGCCCTTGCAGAAGAGAGTCTGAATTGTTGCCTTGATTCATGTTTAAGGGTGGAGCTGGTCAGGGAAAGCTCAGAAACATTTTTTCACTATATATGGGACAGATATGGTGCCCTAACCAGACTTCCTGTATAACAGGTTCCCTTATGGCCCACTGATGCAGGATAAAAGGAGCACACAGATGTGAAGCATTTGGCATGCTTCTGTTTTAAAAACATAACACAGCTGTACTGGGTAAGGCAAGAGGTCTCCTTTAAAGTGTGATGTTTCCACTAGTGCCTGGTAAAGGAGATCCCTTACGTTTTTGTGAAGACTAATGGGAATGTGACCTACAGCAAACATAGTGTTCCTCCTCTATACTGTCCCAGAGGTGGCATCTTTGTGTTTAATGGTCCTCAGTGGATTTTTTTTTTTCTTCATAAACTTGCCCCATTTCTTGAAGCTGGATGTATTTTTAGCATCCACATTCTCCAGGAAGGAATTCCTCAGCTTAACCATGCTGTGAGAAAAAGAAGTACTGTCTTGCATTCCTTTTTTAACCCGATGTGTACTTTTTTATAATCTGATTTTCCTTTATTCAGTACCCCTTCCAAAACAGGGCCTGTTCATTGTAGCCCACACTCCCAATGTCATTTACAATGCTCTTTTGTTCTGAGGAGAGCTTCAATTACTGGTTTTCCAGGCCAAAGGGTCTCAGTCTGTGACACTGTTTCTTACATGGTGGCCATTCTATACCTGTGGTTGTCCTTACCAGTTTTCCCTGTGCCTGTTCTATTTCAGCTCCCTCTGAGATGAGGGATCAGTATTTCACATGCTTTCCAAAATGCTGGAGTTGCAGTTTTATACAATGGCACAGTAATGCTGTTGTGTTTGTCTGTGTTCTTAATCATTGCTAGTTATGCTGTTTGCCTTTCTATTACTGAACATCTTGCCAAAACCACTATGAAACCCCAAGGACTTACTCCTCAGGCTCAGGTAATAATTAATAACAGTTAGGTTAGAGTCTGTCATTTGTATGTGAACTGGAATTGCTTCCTGTTAATATACAAGGGCTTTCACTCACGGGCCATCTCATTGACTCAGGATTCTGAAGCCCTGTGGCTCTTTGGGGTCAGCCCTCATGTTTTTTAATAACCTGGCATTGTCAGCAAACTGTGTGTCCACCCCACTACCTAGATAATTCATGAATCCACGAGGGAGCACAGATCCATATAGGATACCTCCCATTGTTTAAAAGGAAAAAAAAAAGGGAAAAAGCTGTCTATCTTTGCCCTTTGCTAGATTTTAATGGTATTTTATGTATGAAAGCTTCCCTCTATTGCATTATGAATATTTTATATATGGTGTTTGAAAGACTGAGCTGAAAATTAAGGGTCTGATCTTGTCCTATGGTTATCTGTTATTTGTACCTTCAATAAGATAAAAATCTTTCACTGCCTGAAAAGGTTAACATTCTGTGATCAGACAGTGCAGCACAATGGCTTTTCTGTAGCTGTTCCATTTAATTTCCTTTTTTTTTAAACTAATTTAAATGTAATAGAAAAACTATAATGTCACAGCACTTTAGGAAGTTTAGATGCTGGAGCAGCTTCTGCAAATTTAGACATGCTAATACAGAAGTCTTGGGATAGATTTAGCTTTCTTTACGTGGCCTCAGTTTAATGCATATTTCCACGTTGGTAATCTGTGATACAATTGTTGTTCTCTAACCAACTCTAGCAATCATATTTAAAATTCTGCATTGCTCACCCTAATTGGTTTTGTTACAGCTCTGGCAATCCAGCTTTCCTGACCATTGTTTTTGGTGGTATTTTTTTGTTTTTGTTTGTGCATTTTGTTGGGGTTTTTTTAGGTCGATCCCCTTTGAAGGTGCCTGGATACAAGCCTACAGACTGGGAGAAAAGATTTTTGTTGTGGGCAGGCCATTTCAAGAAACCAGAGGACATACCAGAGACTGTCTCGTAAGTGTCAGTTTTGAAGCTGTAAAAGAGACTTTGTCTGTGCTGGAATAAGTTACTTGAATGCAACTCCAGAATAACTCTTCTTAAATGGAATGGGTTTGCACAGCTGAAAAATCTTACACTGCTGTGTCTGGTGTAACATCTTGTAGATGAGATGACCTAAGCAATTCTGTTCTGCTGAGATAATATAGCCCTCTTGATTTGTTTTGCAAAGGGATGACCAGCATTTATCAATTGTTTCATTAGAAAAACATCACAGATCAGTCAATTTTTCATTCTTGTCTTATAATTAAAATGCTTTTTTCAATCATTAGTGTGAGCTTTTTTCTTTATATGTCAGCCTCCCCTTGTGGAAAACTTTCATGATATACTATAAAATAATTAAATCTTATATAAAATATTTATTAATTAATATCTAGAGGGCATGGGCCTACTTTCTTTAGTTTTGGAATTTAAACTAAGGAACAGTGGATGGAAGGGCTCCCTAACAAAATATATATAGTCAAAATTTCCCCTGTTGCTGGTGGAGTCCAAATGTCAATGCTTTGTCCTGTGTGAAAAGTAGAAAATAAAACTGGATGTTCTGGTTTGCATATCTGAAATGAAGATCAAACTTATCAACAACCAGCAACTATCAGTTTAAAAAAAACTCATAGCAGTAGTATAGTTATCCTTTAAAACATGCTCATAATGCTTTTAAATATAAGTATTTATTTAAATTAAAAAGATACAGTAAATCCTGCACTACTTGAGTAAGAAAACAATGTAGCTGCCCTCTAAATATTTTCTGGTTTTTTGGATGCACTGCATGGGAATTGGAAATCCACCCATGTATCTCAATGTATCACAGTGAATAAATTTTGTTAAAATGGAATTCTTCAATTTTGTGTTGAATTGTTTTTCTTAAATTTACATTTGAAATACATACAGGTGTAAATTATTAAAACTTATTATCACTTCATATATTTGAGGGTTTTTAAGAACACAAAGTTAACAGTGATTGATTTCAGTAGTTTATTGAAAGGACAAACCAAATTCTGATAAAAGCTGACCATTTGTGCAAATGCATAGGGAATTCTTTTTATTTAGACAAATAATTCAGCCAAATGTGAGAAGACAATTGAGAACTATAAAAGCAGAAAAACTTGTTTTCTTGTTCTGAGATTAATTGTGGGTTGTAAGGGCTTGTGATATAACTCAGTAATCTTGTAAAATGTGGTGATCAGAAGTAACTCATTTATTAAACAAATATTAATCTTAGCCACTGACTTGATTTAAAATGCAAATTGTGTTCAAATATCTACCTTTTGCTCTCAGATATTCTTAACACATCTAAGGTACTTCCAAAATTAATTAGCAAAGTGTTTTTTTTTAATCCTACTTCTGTGCATTTCAGCTTAATTGCAGCTTGCACTCAAGGCGTTCATTGCAGATTATTAGCAGAAACAAATAACCTGGATGCTAAAATTAACTATTAGTTTCACTGTAGATGGATGTGTTTGTTCCCTATGATCAGAAATCTTGCAATGGAATCAATACTCTGACAAAAACAAGAGCAAAACTCTTTTCAGCTCTCAGGTCCTATGTGATTTACCACGTTGAACTATTGTGGATCCTTAAGTATCTTTTTTTTCTTCCAAGTATAAGGGTCAAAATGTAGTAAAAGATTCCACATTCACTCATGTTTGTGTACAGTAATAATTTCCCAGTTCCATTAAATCCATTCTCCGTGTTAGTTTTGGGGTATAATTACCTAGTGTGATGTATTTATTCTTTTCACCATGCACTGTTGATGCTTTTCAAGTCTTCTGGAACTTTATAACGTGCCAAATTTGATCAGTGAGAATATGAGACCTCCTTGAGAAGGGAGTCACCTGCTCTAAATTCTGCAAGGAGAATTAAATATATAGGCTGTAGGTCTTTGGTTATTGTGGGAAGCACATCCAAAAAGCATTAACACTTCCTTGGCCCTTCTCGCTTTGCTCTAACACCAACTTAAAATTTGTTGTAACCAATATGTCATTTGGGTAGAATGATCTTCAGAGTTTAACCCAACTTAAAATAAATGGTCTTTTCTTTTAACTCTTCACATGTACAGCTGGAAGGTGTTAATAACCGCTACTCTTCTTGTGGAAGACTTCTGGTTTTTAATGATAACAGCAGACTAGGCAACAGGTTTCCCAAAGGAGTAGTATAGCTACTGGTGTGGCTAGGTAAGCCCCCTGAAATTACGGAGGAAAAAAGAAAAAAAGATTTAAAGGGTTCCTCTGTCCAGAGCTGATGGTGGAAAGCTTATGTTCCTCCACACCTATTTAGTTTCTTAGGAAAACAGATTACTTGAAGACTATTTACCGGGAGGGAAGTGCTAACCACTGGTCTTTTACCAAGTCCTATTCAGAATTTTTGAGTACCGTACTCAGCAGCCAGTGTATCATCTGTCAAATCCTGTAGCAGAGGAAGATGCCTTGCTGGAAAATAGACTGTATCATAAACGAAACTATTCTGAAGTTCAGGCAGTAGAAATGGCTTCCCTCAGCCCAAGAAAATCCCAGCTGTTAAACACTGTATGTTATTCTTGCTCACAAATGGTTTGTACCATACTTCTGTTATTGAGAGAAAAACGCACATTTTACAATGCTAAATACATCACAGTTATAGTATGGAGTTTTCCCTGGCTTTGCAGATATTGGAAGATGGTAGTGAGCACAGAGGGAGTTAACAGTAAGAAAAACATTGCATTAGTAAACCCTCTCTTTTTCCTGTTCTTTCCATGATGAACATACATACTGAAATGCTGCAGCCTTCCTCATTTGCATTGCAGTCAAGTGGTCTGCAAAGGCATTACTGTCTCTTAACAATGAAGTAACCAAAGATAAAAAAGCTGAGTTTGTTTCCAGCTTTGAGAGGAATGTCTTTGTGACCAAGTATGTCCCAGGGTAGCTGGGATCAGTGTTTCCCATCTTGTAAAACTTTTTTTGTGAAAAGAGCCAAGTACTATTAGCATTAGCATGCTAGGAAAAATTAAACAATTAGTCAAGTGATTTACTTGGGTCTCTGATAATGAGTCTGTTCTTTTATTCTTATTTCTTGAGGATTGAAACAATCAGAGCAGCAAAGACCACACTGCGTGTGAAGTTCAGCTATGTAATGATTGCCTTGACAATAGTGGGATGCATCATCATGGTGATTAGAGGGAAGCAGGTAAGCACAGATTTTTGGCTGATGAGTGCAAATCAATCTTCACATAAACTTCTCGCTTCCTCTATGGATTTTTAGTACTGTCTTGCTTTGGGGCTTTGTTTTTTTGTTTTTTTCATTTTATCACTGAACAAAAATTTTAAGTCCTCCTAGTTCCCCAGAAGTGACCCCCATTGACTAATTCCCATTGGAAAAGGGTGATGTCACTGTTAAGATTGCATGTGCTTCCTTTAAAAGAAAAAAAAACCTCTGAGCTTAAACCATCTGCATGCACAGAAGAACCTTCCTTGTATGCTGCCTTTCTCTGAAGCAGTTCTTCTGATGACAGTGTTCAGATCTTGTTTCTATGGACTGCTAAGTGTTCTAAAGAAACATTAAAACTATGACAGTCTCAATCCCAGTACTGTGAATTGCTGAATGTCAAATGACATTTCTATCTGCAATTGTCTATGAAAATGAAAAGGATGCAGCACTCTAAATTAAACAGGGCAAAGATTTTTCTCTGGCTTTAGCAGAAGAGATCAAACACTGACAATTCCCAGAACATTTTCCTCTGTACTGGAGTAATATGAATGCAAACACCAGGAAGTGAGGACAGCTACTCTGGAAACCTTGTTTTCAAAGACGCTGAAACTATTTATGTTTCCTGAGATGAGCTCAGTTGGTTAGACATGGTGCAAATAACGCCAAGGTCACAGGTTTGATCCCTGGATGGGCCAGCCATTCACTAAAGAGTTGGACTCGATGGTCCTTGGGGATCCCTTCCATTTCAGAGGATTCTGTGATTCTGTTTAACTTTTGTTTCTAGTACCTCTGACTTGTGAAGATTGGAGATTAGTATTAAATACTGACCAGAAGCACAGAATGTATCTTCTAGTGCCTTAACAAAAGGCTTTAATTTATTCCCAGAGAAGTAATTACTTTCAGCCAAAATAGTTTCTGGATATTTTATTTTACCCTTCTTGCTTCCTGGCATTACTGCTGACAGAACTGTGCCTCGGTAAGGATAGACCAGATATTTTGTAAGCTATCAATTCAAGTTTCAATTCTGTGGTCCTTCAGGTGATAACTGATGATCTTATTACATTGTAGGCTGTAAAAAGACATGAAACTCTTACAAACATAAACTTGGAGAAGAAAGCCCAGTGGAGAGAGGAAAGTACTGCATCTGCTAAACCTTAAAAGAGGAAATGAAGAGCAAGAACTGGGGAAGAAAAGTGAAGTCCTTTTCAGCACTGAAAGGAGGATATAGTCACATTTTTCCTGTATGTTAGTTCTGTACACTCACATTCAAGAAAGAATGAATACATTATCCATTAATAACTAAACCCGGAAATACCTATTTTCTTTTGCTAATAACTGCCCCTTTCTTTCAAACTCTTTTCTTCATGGTTAGTGGGACAGGACACATGAGCAAACTGGAGAGACAAAGTAATTGCTTCCCACATATGCTATGCACTAGACTAAGCATCTTTTAAAATACTGCAGAAGCTGTACTTGCATTCTTGGTACCAATCCCCTTTATGAAAGGTCTTACTTACCACTTACAAGAAGGTGACTTTGACAAAAGGACAGTCCATTTAGTTTCCACTTGTACAAACAAAATACCTTCACTGGGCAGTCATCCACTATCAGCAGCTCTTTCAGGTCCTTTCAAGGTCCCTTCAGGAAGAAGGGGGCTATATGGAGAATGGGGCTATATTTATTCTGTATGTTTCCCTTTGTGCAAGACAGAAAAATTATTAAGGGAGCCCTCGAGTCAGGAGTAATTGTCTGACCTGCATTAACATCATCAAAATGATCATAACTTAGCCTGCTTACCCACTCCAGGTGCAATTATTCTGGCTGCATTTAAGTGAGGGATTACTTTCTGTGAAGAACTGCCTGCCTTCGGTAAAACAAGGAGGGAGATGGATAGTGAAACAGCATTCCAGAGAACCACTGTGTTGCAGCTGACAGCCTAATGGTTGTCACACCAGAGCTGGAACAGAGGTGACAATTTTGAGGAATACTGAGCAACAGCTTCAACCTGTACTGTCAGATTTAGTATTTTGAGGCACATGAGTATGAGAAAGTCCATCAGGCATTCCTGCTCTCTGCTACTAAGCTCTTTTTTTTTCAAATCTCATTTATTTGTATTTTCCCCCTTTAAGTTGTCATCTGTACTTTCATTATACTAGCCCACCTAGAGATCACCTGCCTCATGTTTTATAAGTGGCAGTCCCAGTAATACGTGCAAAGAGCAACTCCCAACAGTTCTACTTCTGGCATTGAGCCCAAAGAGTCACACACTATTCATGCTGAACAGCTTGCAGCAGCCAGAGATAGTATTTTTCCTTCTCCTTACAGTTCATTTGGAAGGAAATGTAGATTGGAAATGTCAGGACTGCTCAAAACCTGTTACTTCCCAGCACTGCCTGCTCACTGGTCCTGAGGACTCCAAAAAGAGAAGAGACATATATATCAGTTTGACAGATTTAGTTTGTGAACTTTCTCATAGCAGGAGGGAGATGACTTTTTTTGAAACTTTTTCCAGATTAGTTTTGTTATACTACTAAAAATTAGCACTATTGCTGAGTGAATCAAAAGCCCTACAAAAATGCATGGGAAATCTTCTCTTTATACCTGGAAAAGAGAAGCAGTAAAATCTCTACCACAGTCCTTTCTAGTAGCTTTGTCCTTTACTCCAGAGCTAGAAAATCGTTGCTGTAGGCCATCTTTCTATGAACTGTAATTCTGGATATCACAATGAGATGTAACCAGTCAGACAAGCTGTGAAGTCAATTCCACCACAGAAGCTACAACCTTCAGGTGATACCATGACCTGCCATCAGATTCTCTGAATGGAAATTATCACAAGTAAGCTGTCAGTCAAGCAGAGCAGGCTTCCACAGCTTTGTCCACTTAATGAGCACTGAATGCAAGTCACATTTAATTCCACTGCAGGTACGTGAACAGATTTTCCATGACAGTTCTAGTTCTTTGCCACACAGCAGGCACACAGGTGAGAACCAAAATAAATCTTGCCAGATTACATGTGATCATGTATGTATTAAATAAGACCAAAAAAACAGAACATGCATTTCAGATGGTATTTCAAGTTTCCTTGAAGAAAAACTTGTGATTTATGCTTGGTGATGGCAGAGCTTAAAACTGTGTGTTCCAAAAATACTACCCTTTCAATATGCACCTGAGTGCTCTTTTGAACAAAACTGGAAGGTACCTCATTTAGTTTTGGAACAGTAAAACTATTTGGACTCATCCAGCTGGTAAAGTACTTCAAATAAAAATGTGCAAAATACCCCTTAGAAAGCAACACCTCAGAGCAGCAATGGTAATCATTTTCCATTTTACTTAAATTTCTATAAATTTTTACCATGTACTCAAATATTGAAGTCTGGTCCAGTGGTTTGACAAAAGCTCCATGTATCTTTCTGTCTAGTATCTCCACCATTTCAGTATCTGTCACTGCCCACTTTTGTGTTTTCTTTCAGCTTCCACATAGGCTCCAGAGTCTCAAACAAAACCCCAAGACAAGGAGCTCTGTGCTATCTCCAGCTCACTCCCAAGCATTGCAGTATTTTCTTTGCAAGTAGCTGGGTACTAGAAAAATGATGTAAATCTTTCTTAGAGAGGCAGTGAAAGAAACCACCTCTTTCCTAGTGTGATGGCTTCCAAGAAAGCACTTCTAAACACAGACAATGGTGACAAAACCAGCGTGTTTCTAGCTGAAGCAGCCTGTCCAGCTGACTGGAGAACTGAATACACCTCGGATCACCTGACAGCTCATAGCTTTAGCCTGCAGCCTTTTAGCAGTGCGTGATGGAGAGGAACATACTAAGCCCTTAAACAGTATTTAATTTTCTTTCCTTTGGCTTGGTCTGTAACACCATTCACATTTATTCAAAACAGTCAAATTTCTCAATTCGATACCATATGCCATATTGCTGTACCTCTTCCAAAGGCAACTGAAACTTCCAAATGCAACAATCAATCTGACAACTTCAACACTGCCTCAGAAGAGCATGCAGGAGCCTTATGGACATGGCCGCAGCAGTACACAAACAGGTCCTGTTTATTTTCTGCTACGACTCGGGCAACTGAAGAAAGACCTTCATGTCTAAAATTGGCATTGGACAGTACCAATGGTGTGTTGTGCCAATTTCCAGAGACAAATCATACTGAAAAATGCGGAGAATTACTTTAAGCTGGCAGAGAGATAAGATAGCTGTTCTGGAAATCCTCAGAGAAGAACAGAAGTGTAATAGCAAGAGCACTGTCACATGTAGGACCATCTAGTTCTTCAACACTCTTGGTGCTAACAGAAAAAAAAATGCAGTTTCAAGAACAGGCAGGTCTTTGGGGGTCATTGTCTTCCTCCATTCTCTTAATGTTAGAGGAAGGGACTTGAACCACCAGTATTTGGTTTTGCAGCAAGGAAGCAACACAGGAATTTAAGAACAGGCTGAAGTCTGTAGGCAGCAGTTGCCTCAAATAATTATGTGGTGTCTTCCCATGAGCCCCAGGCACTGGTCCTGGCTTAGTTATTGAGCTTTCAATAACCTGCCCCATCATCTCTTGTATCCTCCTGAATCCAAGAGAGTGACCCTGCCTGCTGTGTTCCACTGGGGAATTTACCAACAAAAAAATAACAGCTCCTGTTTGCTGGCCCAACAAATACGCAACTTAAATGGCATTACTGATCTGTGGTCAGAACTGCAAGACAGCAATTCCAGGCAGTCTTGCATCTTCCTTTCTCTAACAGCCAGTTTAAAATAGACATTGTTAAAACCTGAGTGCAGTGTTTCCACCTCATTACTGATGTTGCAGAAAGAACTGGAGAAATTTTCATGAATCTTTTCACCTTAGCAGTCTGCAGGGCTTTTGGAAGGTGCTTAGATTGGATCTCCACAAGTAGACAGAAACAAATGCATACATTGCAATTTGGAAGAAAACACGAGGTCACTTTTCTGGCACCACAGGCTGCTTGGCAGAGCTAAGAGAAGAACCCAAGAACTCCCAACAGTTCCCTCACCTATCCTCTATGCAAGAGCAGCTGCCTCCTATGTAGATACAAAACAACAGATCATGCAAAACACAGTGTGACCATCACAAAAGTGGCAGCTAGAGCTGTTCTCCAAGATGGTCCCTGTCTGAGCACATCCTTCAGGAGAGCAAAGAATACTGGTTTCAGTTTTTCTAGCAAGGACATAGCTACACAGAATTGTGTTAGGAAGCAGTGTCCAAGCAGTAACATATAATGATCCTCATCTTTTCAGCAGCACTTTTCCTCCAAAAGAGAGTCCTCACCTGTGGCCTGAATGTTATTTATTAGAAGGGTAACGTTATGCCACATATTTGGGTCTGCTAAAATGCAAATAGTTTACTTGCCCTTGGCTTGCCAAGTAATTCTGATCAGTCTGTATCATTTCTTTCATAATGCACAAGTCTGATCTCCCTTCCGTACCCATTTAATTTGCAGCCTTTGTTAGAAGTAGATTCTGTTTCTTTTCAACCTATTAAAAAGGCTAAGTAAAGCAACGCCAAGACTGGTTGCTGGAAGATCCTGATGGAAATACACTCAATTAAGCACCATTTAAAATTACATTGAGACCTATGAGTTAGCCACATTTTAATCCATTTAATGTGTGCCGTGTTGATTTTTGTATTGTTGTGGTTTTCAGTCAAAATATTATGCAGTACCAGTCAAATGCCTTACACAGTCCAAGTATTTATGACAACAATATTACCTGTGTCAACCAGGCCTGTCACTTCAAACAAACATACCAAGTTTAAAGATTTATACTTATCTGCTCTGAATTCACATATCCACAGCAAAAGTAACAAATAATGGCCAGGCTCCTTACAGAGGAAGGCACACCATTCAGCTTAAATGGACTCTTTTTTAATTCACTCATTTAGAGGCAATTGTCATTACGTTCTTGGGGGGCAGGGGAGGGAAACGCCAATGCACCACATTGTTTTCACTAGCCTGGAAGAGAAAACACTTATATATATATAGATATATAGGTATGTATATATATATACACACACTTTATGCATGTATATATATATATGTGTGTGTGTGTATATATGTATATATACACGCTAGTGTATATATACACAGAATATACATATATGAATATACAGAATATATGCACACACACTTTGCTCAGATTTGTTTACAAAATATGTAGCATTTTTATACCATCCAATAAGAGGTACATGGTTTTAAACAAATCTTATAGAAATGACATGTTATTGGAAATTTACACGTAAAAAAATCCAGCACAAAAAAATCCAAAAGCTAAAACAAGATTTTGCTACTAATCAGTGCTTCTATCACCCTTCAAGAAAAGAGAAACACAGTTATTTATGTGATGTAAAGGCAACATTGAGGGGTTTTTTTGCTTTTTTAAATTAACCACCAAATTTAACCCCCTAAAATTACAAAGAATTGAAGTCCATTTACAGATCAAGTGCAGTAAACTAAATGTTCCTTCAGCACAAAGCAGCACTAGAGAAAATAACTGGGAGAGGGAAAGTGGAGGCCAACTGGCTTAGCTAGGGAGGCAGCAGGTGGCTTCTGCAGTGGCCACACAGGTCAGAGTCTCCATCCTGAAGCAGAGACAGAACTGAAGACTTTATTTAAATAATGGTCACACAGAGCTGATGTTCAGGCCTTTGCCTAGCTTCTTTCAGCAGTATGACAAGTGATTTATAACTGATTTATGACAAGTATTTTTATAACTGTATCCAATGGGCTGGTTTTGCTTTTGCAGTGGCTTATCACTGAGAGGAGTCATGAGGATCTTGCAGACAGTTCTGCCACTAACATTTACCACAGGTCCATGACGCTGCAGTTGGCAGTGGCGATTTTGAAATGTTTACATTGGACAAATGTGTGTTCCAAGCATCCAAAATGGCTTGAAAGAACATAGCCTGATGCAGGGGGGAGCGGACGGCCTAGGGAATCCATTGCATTTTTCAAAATGGAACTGCCACTTTCAATCACGTGGCATCTCCCCAGTTGTGTGAAGAGTTTGGTGTCAGTGTCAGCTGAACTCAAGTGAGGAGTGGCTGGCCTTTGCATGAGAGGTCTGTGATCCAAGCAGGTTGCGGAGCCAAGAACATGCTGCTAGCAGAAGGGCAGTCCACAGCTGCAAGTGGCAGCTGTCATGCAGTCAGCGATGCCTTACAGATGTCACCTGTAGGAACCATGCGTTCCATGCTAATTCACCTGAAGTCTCATAAACAGCAAAAGGGAAAAATGAAATGAGAGGGCCAGGTGGACCCAGGTGTAATAGTACTATCCTTTGAATGTAGTGTCACTTTAGTTGTTAAATAAGGGGCTTGACCAGGAGGACTCTATTCCATCAGGTGAGTTGGAGAGGAAGCTCTTGTCTTGTGAAAATGAAAAGGCGATCTAATGCTCCTTGTGCTAAGTTTTACAAATTAAGATTTCTGTGTTCGGAAGGTAATTTTTCAGAAGACAAATCTGTTCAAGTCACGCTGTGTAAAAATGTGAAGAGGCAGACAGGAGTTTTTCAGCCATAACTATAATAACAAGGACCAGACTCTGGAGGATGAAGTCAGAAAGGACTTGATTTTAAGGAAGGCCCGGCTGGATCATACTGTGCTGGCAAGCAGAAGTGAGGGCAATTTCTCCATTCTAGAAGCTGTTTTGGAAACTCGTTTCTGGGGAGGTGATAAGAGTGACCTATTCACAGGTTCTTTTTTTGTGGATGGAGAGGAAAAACTGGGAAGGTATACAAATCTCCACAGTGGTCTGCAATCCAACTTGGGAGCTCAGTGTTGAGACGGGATGGGGCCAGATGTGTTCAATATTCTTAAGAACCACAAAACATGTCCATTGCAGCCTGTTGTTGCACGGGATAGAGAACTTACTCCATTATTTGTAACGTGTTCCTCATGCCAATAACCCCGGCTGGCACATACAGCAAAGTAGATACGCTGCATGTGAAGGTTTAATTCATCTCTCGCCGCTATCCAAAGAGGCATCCAGGGGAGAACATGGGGGATGAATTCAGCTACGTTCTCAGAAAGGCTGAACATCTCCCTGGACTGCAGGCACATACTGCAGCAAATAAAAGAGAAAAGCAGACAGCCTTCTCTTGGATGCCAGGAGCGTGGGGGCTAGTGGATGAGGGACTATTTTCCCGTAACAGGAACAGGGAATATCTCAAAGTATAGAAAGGTGCCTCAACTCCACGAAGATGACAGTGGAGAGATTCAGAATCTAGAGGAGAAGGGTGATTCTGGTGACCTCTTGCCAAGGAGGGGGCATCCTGCCATGGAGAGCCAAAAGTTTTCCAGACGTATGTAAGAGCATGTGCACGAGGCAAGCGAATGAGCGCAAACAGGGTTATGGAAAACATTGAGAGAATCACTCCACGGGTGGCTTGTGGCTCGACAACAGGATTGGCTAGGTAGAGGAGCACACAGCACAAGGGCACCTCAAAGCTGGAAGCCTTCCATGGGAGCCTCACACTGCTGGAAGATGTACTGTTGCTGGTTGATGTCCACTTGTGGGGCAATGCTGCTGTCTTCGTCCTCTGTTCCAAAGTAGTGCTCAATCAGATCAAAGGCCTTCTGATAAATCTCTTGATTCTCATGGCTCTGCAAAAATTCAATCTTGTCCAGGCCTGCAAAGAAAAGAAGTACATAAAAGTTATAGCTCAGTGAAAGCATATGACCATGACAGTTTTCAGTCTGCTGTGAACATTTACATTTGATGACAACTGTCTCCAACCTTTGGAAAGAACAGGCCCCCTTACTCAACTTGTACTCTCCACAACCAAGGAAAAACAGGTTGAACTACAGAGTTCCCTGTAACTGTGTTATGTGTTTCATACTCTCTGTCTGCCTCTACCCTTTCACCCAAAAATTAAATCCACAGGTTTGAATGGGTAAAGACAAACAAGGCCTCAAACTCAAAGACTTTTTCTGAAAAGACTTTTAGGACCAAATTTCCTGAAAGTGTGTTCCCAGTGCTTTCCTTACGAGGACCATGACTACAGAATCACTCAAGAGCAAGTTGAAAGAGACTTCTGATAATCATCCAGTCCAACCTGCAACCCAGCCCAGGAGTACTAACCAACAGCAGATTAGGTCTGCTGTGTCTAGACGGGTATTCAAAACTTCCAAGGATGGAGACTCCATTATCTAATCTGTATCCCATATATATACAGTACAGTTAAACTCGGGCAACCAGTTTTTGGGCAGGCATTAAGCAAATGGGCAAATTCAGGCCTTGTAGTCAGATACAAAGGAAAATAATACAGCAAGGAATGATGCTATAACAAAATCCAAGTGTTAGCCATTTTAGTAAATCTCTAATATTGGGAACTGTACTAGCTTTCTTGTCTACTCCTTTTACTATGTATGAAGCCTAGAGTACACAATTCTCTGATACTATATACACATTCCTGAATGTGTATATACATATACATACACATATGAAAAGGGAAGTTTTCATATCAGTTGAAACTGAGAAGCAGGCAAGAAAAAATCCTATTCTGATATAACTGTTCCCAGGAAGTCAAGGTAACCATGAAGGGAAACAAGGTTCAAGAAACCATGTTCAATGATGCTATCTTCTTCTATACTGCTCTTGATACCCATTTTATTTTTCTTAATAAGAACTTAAGAGCAGCAGTAGCTCAGAACTGAGATGAAATCACACTGGTACATGCCAGAACCTTAGCATAGCAGAGGCAAACAAGGAATTTGCAGCTGCTGTCATAATTCTGCAGGGCAGCAGAAAGGGATGGGGGAAAGGTTTGAAACCTGAGCAACAGAGCACTGCACCTGAGCTTTTATCTGATATGACTGAATGACTCCCAGAAGGCTTTCTCAGGGACAAAAGAAATCAATAAAAGAAAATCTGCACACACTGTTTTCAGTCTACACACAGTCAAAGATAATGTAAAAAAACGGAGTACAGTGAAGACTTATCAAAGAACAGGTTATTTTCGGATAACAGTGATAAGGTAATTAATAGAATTGGATCTACTGAAACTCTAATGGGATCATGATCTTGGCTTTATGGCCTGACTTGCTTAGGTGTTTTGCTCGTACCATACGCTTCTTCAATAAGAGCGCAGTAAGGATTAATGCCAGTGCCGCTGCGTTTGGATTCCTGCTCTCCAAGCCTCAGGATATTCTCCAGCCCGTTCAGTGCTACTTGCACGATCTTTGAGTCCATTACTGTAAGGAGGTCGCAGAGCGGTCTGATGCATCCCAGTTCTACTAAATACCTGAAAAACACCGTATGGAACCCAGTTAATTGTCTGCAAAATTGTAATTGGTGTAGCCATTTAAGCACTTAGCATGAAGGTCTAAGAACCAAAGCAACCAGATAAAATATCAACTTGACTGGAGAAACCAAAATTACAGACATCTAGTTGTGTCTAGTCAATTCTGCTGGAACAAACAAAATAACTTTAAAATACCTTCTCTGAACCCTCATTTATATAGCTATGAAATAATGACTTATTTTTTGTACCATAAATTTATATTTATATAAACAGCAACTATGTTAAAATTTAATATGTTTATAAAGTTATTTTATTTTATACAAAATTGCATATAAGCATAATGTACCAGTTTAAGTTAAACAGGAAAAGCAATACACGTGATGCCACTGTCTGAGGTGCCAAACTATTCCTCTCCAGACTGCTAATGCACTTACACACTAAAACAACCACTTAGAAGTTAGTTTAAAAGTTGCATTTAGTTTTTTCATGTAAGACAAATGGTTCAATTATTTAAATAAGCATTACAACTAAAATACTTTTGTAATTTCTCCCTAAAGGAATGACAGGCTCATTCACAACAAGGACATGGTCTCTCTGGATACAACACTGAAAGCATACAGAAAGGTTTTCCAGTTTCTAGGTTGATAGTTTGTTTTCTTGCACAAACATCAATTCACATGTTGCATTACAACATTTTAACAATTCTTACTTGATCTGTTCAGCAGAGCCTCCAGATGTTGCATTTGTGATTGCCCAAGCAGCTTCTTTCCTTGTCCGAAACTCAGCCGTTTGCAAAATATTTATAAGAGCTGGGAAGATATGGGCATCTATGACTGTCTGCAAAAACAAATGACACGTCAGGGTTATAATAAAAATTAGAAATAACTTTCTTGTCCTGAGCTAGTTAATGTCTATGCTCAGCACAACACACTAAACAATGAAATGTCACCTTATCAAGGGGCAAAACCGATAAATCAGTTTTCAGCTTTACATTCAAAATCCTAGTTATTGCCATGGTTTGTGCTCATCCCAAAAGAATTCAAAACACATTCAGACTAAAGTGACTGGCATATCTAAGGAGTTACTTAATCATACCCTGACAGCAAAACAATGCCATACTTCCCTCATTTTTCCAGGTAGTGAACCACTCAGCTATTAAGTCAGTAAACTATTAAGGCATTAAGATCCCCTAAACTTCATATTCCTGTGTGCCATACTACATTTCCACTGGGCAAGACAATGAAGCAAAGAGAACACAAAGCAGCAGATGGTTCAGCAATAGGGGAGGTTAGGATTACATTTTTAAACTACCACTTTACATTTGTAACTCATCACAGAACTGATAAAGGAAAATTCAAAGAAAGCCAAAAAGATCCTTTTCACAGAGCTCTGTAGAAGAAAACTAACAGATTACACATAGCAAAAAGCTGTAGTCAATTCACAGTGTGAATGGCTACCTGGTGAAAACAAAACAACTGTTTGATATTTCTTTTATCCTTGCCGTTTGTCTGGACATCCATACTGAATCTGCTTTGCAAATCCACAGTGCCTATAGTTGTATCAACAGTGCCATGAATACTGTCTCCTTTGCCAAAAAATCCACACTTCTCGTACAGAAATCTAGGGTACCCAAGGAAAACCACTTATACTTCCATCATGCCACATTGTATTACACTTGTACACTGCTGAGAACATTTGAAAAAGTGTCCTTAACTGAAATTTTAGAACGTGAATGTTGGAAGTGCTAGGTCACAAACAGGAGTCAGCTATTTTAAAACAAAACAAAACACAACCTAAAAAGATAAAAGAAAGTATCTTTAAAAATGCTTTTTGCCCCCTGACATATTTTACTGCAAAAGAACCCACTTAATTTTTAAAAAGATACCAAAGCAACACACTGTAAGGGTACTTGAACACAAGAGCACCTGCTTTATTAAGGTTAATCAGATCAAGAGCCTTATCAAAGGGAGATACAAGTAACAAGAAAGTAATAAATAAAACACACAGTGATACACACGTGATAGAAGAGGGTTAAGAGAAACAATCACAAAGAAGGAAAGGCTCCAGTCACTAATTAACGGGTCATTAAGAACCTATAGGCAGAGAGCCAGCCCAGACTTCATAACTGATGACAGGGACAGGTGAAACTGCAAAACTCAGTAATGAATCTTTTCGTGACTGTTTTACCATGTAACCCCCCTCTCTAGCCCCTTGAACGCTGTAAGGATTAGGTGCTCACAAATGATACTGGCATGACTGAATTTGGGCTGGGAACTAGATGAGATCACAGGAGAAACCTGTGTCTGTGGGGCCAGCAACTGGAGTGGGTGGGCGTTTCAGCATCAGTAGCTGGAGGGGCCAAGAATCAAGGTCCCAGAAAACATGAATTCAGGGCCAGCAACTGGTGCCAAACGTTGGATGAAGGGGCCCCTAAAACTGGAGCAGGTGAGGGCCCCAGCATCAGCCACTGGGGCAGGATCATAGTCCATAGGGCCCCTTGTGCCTGGATGCCAGCGACTGGGGGACTGAAGTTAAGTGAAGATCTCAGCACCTCAGCTGGAATGGGACTGCAGGTCACAGGACCCATGGGCTTGGGCACCAGCTCTGTGTGATGAGGGAATTTACGTAATCCCAAAACATGGTGGTGGGTGTGGAGGATCACGATTTATTTAATTTGCTGGCAAACTGACTAGGCAGAGCAAGTGGGAGGCCAGGATCTCAGGCATGGACAGGGGTCTGCAAGCATGTGCATCTGTTTGCTAGTGAGAATCAAGCTGAACAAGCCAGTGAGTAGAACCCAAGCACAGTGAGTGAAGACAGCTCACGATCCAGCCAGGGACAGCAGCTGAGCAGAGAGCCCACAATGACAGTCAAGAGATCTGTGACTGTGTGTGTGTGCTTGTGGATCTAGAGAGTGTTTTTTCACTAGTAAACTTCAGTCCTCATCAGACAGACAGGAAAAAGAGGACTTGTCAGTCTACATTTCGTTTTATGTGAGTCCAGAGAGCGCTACACAAGGGTGTTGTTAAGAAGCTCTTAAAAGAACAATGCGTCAAGGGACATCAAATATTCTCTACTGAAAGATCTTGATACAGATCTAGGATAGGATACTTGACGACATTAGTTTTTACTATTGTGGCAAAGAATAAGTAAAAAACATCCCATTAGCACTTCTTAAATCCTCTCCCCAAAACAAAACTTTTATAGGAGATTTATTTCCTTAGAAAGTGTCTTCTTAAAATCAACTTCTTTAGTAACTACTAAAACCAGAGTATGTTACATGATAGCATGGAACTAAATCAGCACATCTTATCTGACAGGCAGTAACATGCTTTGAACCTTCTTACTGCCAAAAAAAAAAGTTACCTTGAAATGTTTCAACTTAAACTGGTAAAATACTACGAGAAATTCAGAATAAAGGGAACTAGCAACAGGAGGACAGTTAAGTAGGAGAAACGTAAAAGATTCTTATTGCTTTTCTTCTGGCTCAATCAATTTTAAACTCTGTTTCAGTGCTTCAGTCAGTAAAATTACTCTTCTTAAGAGCGGAGAAATGTGCACTTGAATGTTTTCAGAAAGAACTGAATCCAGATCTCGCATCTCTTGGGTGAGTGCTCTTATTTCCATTTATTTCTATTTCTTACTCTATTGTATAAAAGGCTACAGGCACCCTGTTTACTTTCTGCTCAGCAATGATGTCAGCTATCTTTACCCAAGCAGAACAGGTTAAAGTACGACAATGAGTCACAGCCTTTCATAAGTGAGAGTGGCTCAAGAGAGAAGCAGATTATCAGTCACTATATTTTTATGTTTCCTACTGCTTGACATGCATTGTAAGTGTTGTCACCACCTCATCCTATCATGAGTCTCAGTTAAAGGTATTTAACTGTCCCTCTGTAATACAGCAAAGCTTTTCAACTAGCAGTCTCTCAACAGTTGAAACTTTCAGAGTTCAACTTTAAGGAAAAAAAATTAACTAGGTCAGAAAATGGTTTGCTTTAACCTTAATATCTTTACTAGATTTCAGAAGTCAGTTAAGCTCAGCAAGGGTGGTAACAACAACACATTAATACAGAGAAAATGCTAGCAGCATCTATGACTTACACCCTATGTCCTGTAGCCCTGCCCACAGCAGTTACTCTGGAAAGCACATTAGAATGCCTAAGGATTCCTATCTCTATGATATTTTATGTGGGAACAACAGTTACTGTGGAAACAGGTCATGTTTCCCTTTCAGTTAAATTTCTTTTAAGTGATAAAATAGTAAATGCTGAAACAGAATTTGGGTTTGCTTTTTTCTTTCTTTTTTTCTTGAAGAAAAGCAAACCTCAGGCAGAGCGAAACTCTAAAAGACTGTCACAGGATGAAGTAGTTAAAACTTCTGAGGATTTAGAATGGCTTAATTCAAATTACTTCACTTTTTTACCATTCCTATACCGCATGTGCCTGACACGTGGAAGTATGCTGAAGACTAAAGTAATGCAGTGCATACAAAGTGCTCAAGATAAGCATAGCTTTTAAACAAAACGAACACAATTCCAGGATTTCAGTTCAATAAGAAGTTTAAAAACTGAAAGGAAATAAAAAGGTTTTAGGCTGCTACTACTAGGCACAGAGGTGGTATTTACAAAATACAACAAAAATCTCTTTTCTTCACAACAGGTAATCCAACGCCCATCCTCTGATACATTAAACTAACATTGAAGTTTTTGCCCAGCTGCATCCAATGGTATTTGCTGGAACGGAACGGAACAGAACCCTATCTGGAGTTGTAACTGTAAGTCTTTTGGAAAACTAAAATTCAATTTTAATTGAAACATGAATTTTCAAATTTAATTTGAACTGACTTGTAATGCTCAGTCCTTCAGCAAATCTGTCCTCACTTTCAAAGTGTCAACTTTTTTATGTTTATTTGGAGTGTGGGTTTGTCGTTTTGGGGTTTTTTTAATAGTTGGTATCCCTGTGCTGCAGTCCTCCAAGCAGGTTGCCTGTCTTTTGGGAACATTCTATCCATCTTATTTTAATCAAGCCTCTTCACTTTACAGTATTTGATTTTTAAAGAGTGAAGCTAGATAAAAAATGCATTTTCAGAGTTTTATTACACCTGCACGGATGTTTAATCTAAATATATTGTAATCACTGTTAGGAAGGTCTTCAGCAGCAGTATATTAAATTAGTATTTTGAGCTGGTAGTACCATGTGAATTTGCTTCTCCCTCTTTGGGTTCCCACAACTAAATCACTTAAGATATGCAAAAACACACATACACATCTAGTGTGCACATGTGGACGCCATGTCTACATATGATTCATCACATAAATGTGAAGGCAAACAAGTTTTATACCGTGACCGTTTCCCTGCTCCTGCGAGCTCTCTCATTACCTTTAACAAATCAAGATTACAGTCACCAGACAGCTGGCAGCTGCAAATACAAACCTACTGCTCCTCCTGGCTGGAAATTGTAGTTTATAGAGGCTGCTCAGTTACTTCTATTCGAGTTACCTTGTTTATTGATTCAATTTACAACTGCTTTATAAATAACATAGCAAATATTTGTAAGCCAAAACTACGTAACATGGTGGCATGAGTACAAAACCAACTGGCACCTGAGAGTCAGACAGGAAGCCCTTCAGATCTCAGTTCTAATGAACTTTTATGTTGTTGACACAGACACCTAAGCCTGTATACTCCAAACTGTGTATAAAGCAAGCTTCTAGACAGTTTACACAAGGCTGCTACTGCTGTCAGGAAGAACCTGCACTATAATGAACAGCACCTTGTTGAGCTGTCTCCTGCTTTTAGGGTCAGTCCTAAAAAAAAACAAAACCAAGCAAAAC